TGCTTCAAAATATGGTTGGTGAGAGTATAGAAAAAACATGGTTATACATATTTAAGCTGGATGATGGTTTTGAAAACAAGGGAGTTCATTAATATTAGTATCAATTATTTTATGTTAATAACATTAATGTTATCAAAATATGAATAATTATATTAATATTTATATTTGGTCAAGTGCTTATCTTTTATATATTTATGTAGAAAATTCCAAAGATGAACAGATATAATAAATAAGATTTGCTTCAAAATAACCCAATTGTGAGGGGAGAGGTAGAGTGAGTGAATTTATAGATAAGATGTTGCTGTTGAAGCTGAGAGGTTGTCATGTGGTTTATTGCACTAGAATATTTACTTTTCTATGCAAGTGAAAATTTTTATAACTAAAAAATTAAATGTTAAAAATTCACCATTGCTATGGGAAGAAGTAGAGAAATAGATAAGTATATATTCACAGTGAAATGTATTTACCTGGAAAATCATAATTATTACAAATAGAGAGTAATTCACTTTGTAAAGGAAGAGCACATTAGGAAACTGTGCTACCACAGATAACCTTATTGAGACATGGTCTCAGTGTATCATGCAGAATAGCCACCCCCAATTTCAGAGGCATAAAACTAAGTTTAAGGCTGTTAATAATCCATCATGCCAGAAATCTCAGTGGTGTATAAAGCAAGTTCTATTTCTTGTTCTAGATGTGTTCTGTTCATTAGAATCCCTTAGTGACTCCAATCGGTGGAGCAACCATAATATTAACCTTTGCCTATTGCTGTGCTGGAGGGGAAAAAAGCTTTGGAGGATCTCACATTAGTGAGTAAAGAATGCAGTCTATAAAGGACATGTGTCACTTCTCACAAGTCATTAGTCTGAATCAGTCAAATGACCCTATTCAGCTAGTAGGGACCCAGAGAAGTATATTGCCAAACTTATTCCCAGAAGAGAGGCTAGAAATATTTGAAAAAACCCTCTAATGATTTCTTCTAAGAGAGTCTGTGCATCATACTTATGGGAATGACAGTCATTTGTTAACATCTCTAAGATAGCAGTCAACACAAGTGCTCATCCACCCTTTTGGGTTATTTCACTCTTCTGACTCAGAGTCATGCAATATATTGTATGCAGATTGCATAATGAATATATGGTAATTTGTTGACTCAGTTAAAATTTAGCAGTGCTCCATTTTACTCTTGGCATTGTTAAAGTAATATGTTCTCATTAAAAAACACTTAAAAACTGGAAAACTAGAAAAAAGGGTTAAAATCACTCATAATCCCAGTTTTCACAAAAATAATGGCAGTTATCACATTAGTGGATTACCTTCCGAACTTTTTATGCATTTAAAATGAGTTCTTCCGGTCAAAACTATAATCTTTTCAGTAGTGACATTGCCCCATACAGATAAGGTAACTGGCTCTGGCCCAGCAGATCATTTAAAAAAAAAAAAAAAGATGTTTTAGCCCTTGCCCTTTCCAACATGATTTTTTTAAATGTAATAGTTATATAGCACTTAACCACTAGTAGTTAACTAGCAGTTCCAGGTCACATTCTGGGTTTTGGAGCAACAAATCCTTACTTCTAATGTTGTTAGTATAAGGTCAGCAAGAAACAAATGGGTAATTGTAATTGTTATTTTCATTTGCTTCTGGCATTTTCTCCACCCAGATTACTTATGAAAAGGGAACAGCTTTGGGAGTTCATGTTACTGTGGTACTTAAGCCTCTTTAAGTCATCAAGGTTCTGATTACCTTACAAAAAATAAAAACTGCTGTTGATCCTAGCAAAGACGTTAGTGTAAGGAATAATTTGCCAAATATGTTCCAATTGGGATGATTTCTTCAACTTCAAACACCATTTAGTTATAAATTGAGATCTTTAGAGGTTAAAGATGATCCCTGGAATTTTTTTTTTCAAGATTTATTTATGACTTCAGAATTAAATTCTTATCAAATATTTGGCATAAAAAGATAATCAGATTACAAGTTTTATACGGGCAAAAAAATACACAGGTGCTTTGTAAGGTAGCAATGATGAATACTGGTCACCAAGTCTCCATGTCTTGTTTTCAGTTTATTTTTTTTTTTTTGAAAGATTCATTTATTTATGCATACAAGAACTGGGGTGTCAGCCAGAGGTGCAGGGGGTGAGAGGATTGAGAGGATTCACCAGAGAGAGTGGGGAGCAGAACAGGCAGAGCCACTGAAATACACTGCTGAGGGAAGCAGGGGGCGCGGAAGGAGGTCTGCTGTGCCATGTGGGTTGCTCCCTGTCCGACTGGGCATAGAACTCATGTTGTAGTGGCTGGTGATATCTTGATAGCGCTGTCTTTAACCCCTGCGTCACCAGGGACGTCCTTTTTTTCAGTTCAATAAGAAATTCAATTTTAAGATATATCCAAAAATAATTGTGCTCCAGAGAATTGATGTGCCTTAGTCAGATTCATAGGGTACTGATATAGCAACATGAATATAGTTTATTAATTACTCATCAATAATAACAATAAATTTAATCATCGATAACAATAATTTATATTATCACTAAACACTTTACATGGATTAGGTCATGCAATGTATTATTGATGATTTATTGCCATTTAACTCAAGGAGCATCTAAGTTTAGCAAATTTGGGTCATATTGCTAATAAGTGATAGAACTAGAATTTGAATTTAGGTAGTCTAATGGGACAAATTGTAATTTTTAAGAAAGAGGGACTATTCTTAGATTCACTGATTAATTTATCCTATCTGTTAGTTTAGGAAAATATCTTATTGGTATTAAAGTAATGTATATGAATTACAGATAAGTTAGAATGAGCAACGAACCAAAGGAAGAATTTAAAAATAATATCTGTAGGGGTTCCCGTGGTGGCGCAGGTGGTTGAGCACCGCACTGTGAAGCTGTCCATAGCCTCTGCAGCAGCAGTTCGATCCTGGCTGGCCGGGGAGGGTCCCACTTGGTGCTGCAGACCTCTCTTGTCATGCCTGCTGCTCCCCCCAGCAGTGTATTTCATCAGTCTGCCTGTTCTGTTCCCCACTCTGTCTCTGGTGAATTCTCTCACTCTCCCACGCATGTGGCCTGTACCCCAGTTCTTGTATAAATAAATAAATCTTTAAAAAAAATCTATATTCTAATCAGCTGAACTTGACCACTGTTAACGTTTGGTGTACTTTCTACACAATTTTAATGCATAGTATCATTGACCTCATACTACATAAGTAAACTGTTTAAAAATACTTAAAATGTTATTTCAAACTATTTAGAATGTTTTTCAAGAGGAAACAGTAATTTCCTTAAGTCATTTAAATTATTTGTGAAGAAACCCTTCCTCCTGAAATAAAAATCAGGTTGTCAGTGCTGTTTAGCAGACACTCTGCACATGAACAGCATTCAGACTGCGCTCATGGCAGTGGTCTTGTTCAAGGTGGAGTAGCAGGAGGGGACTATTGAGCACTATCCCAGGGCACATTTGTGTTTTTGACAACCTAAGAAGACTGCATGGGAAAATCATTTAGGAATATAGTTTAGATTAGAGGTGACCCCAGAAATCAAAGTTCACCATACATATCACCACTATTTAGGCAGGATTTAAGACTGGTAGGGAGTAAGGTTTAGGATGCCAGCATCCATGACAACAATGCAAAACCAGTGATACTGGTTGATACTATTGTGCCTTTTATACTTTGTCTTGCTTTTTTTAAATATACTTTGTCTTTCTATACATGTAATAATTTTTATTGATGAATCCATATTCCATATATGCACTTTGACATGCACGCTACTTTTAAGTAGTCACAAACTTCATATACATAGTGGCTTTAATCATGTACACAATATATTTTTTTAAACCATCTCTTAATGCTGGATTTTAAGATTGCTGTCAATTTTTAAAACATAACAGTCATCATGGTACTTTCCATATAAATCTTTGTATTCTGGAATATTTCCTTGTACTTTCCATGAGGGAGAAAATTCAGTCATGTAAACATTTTAAAATATAATGACAAATAAATTTTCCAAACTCTTTGTCTTAATTTATACCCCACCAGGCTATACCAGTGCCCACTTCACTCTACTCTTACCAGTGGGGTTAATTCACATTTTAGTTATCTGTGAACAATGTCTAGCCTATATTAGAGAAAATGCATAATGTACTTTGCAGAATAATTCTTAGGATTAAATGAGTTACTGTAAGTAAACCCTCTAATGCCGTGTCTGTCACACAGCAGACGCTCAACAAATTATTTTAGGCACGCAACGAATTCCAGTGTTGAACTAAAACCACACCATTTCATTTCAGAGTTTAGGAAAATGATGATTAGAGATGAAATATCGCTATATTGCTATCACCAATATAGTTGTAACTGCAGATTTAGGAGTTGAACGCTGACTCTCAAATTTTTCACCACAAATCACAACTGCCTTAAATAGCCCTGAGCTATATAATGTTGTGATTTTTTAAAGATCAGTATCAATCTGATAAATTCTTTGGCAAATGGATTCTTTCTCCCTAGTTTCTAATGTGCTGACGGCAGAACCCTTGCAAATGGTCAGCCCTTGGAAAGTGTCAGGGAGCGCAGCGGGTTGGGGGAGAAAGAGGTTGCAAGACCAGTTTGACGCAAAAAGCGAGGTTTTGGAGGAGGCAGCGGCGCCGGGAGCGGGCTCAGGCAGCCGCCGGGCAGGCGGATGTGTCCGGCACAGGCCGGGGCGGCGCGGTGGCCAGTGGCGGGGGGCGGGGGGAAGCTGCGTCTAGGTCAGCGAAGGGCAAAGGAAGCCGGACACCGACGCGGACGCCTCCCTCGCCCCGCTCCAGGGCGTCCAGTGGGACACCGTATCCAGCTGCAAGGCCGGATCTTCAGGCGCACCCGTCACCCCAGAACCTCCTCAGGTACTTCCGGTAGGAACCCAGAGCCCCCGGCTTAGACCCCGCAGCAGCGCGCAGGCGCCTCGGGGCTGGCGGCGGCCGCGGCCGCGGAGGAAGGGGGCGTGAGAGTCGAGACGGCTTCCTCTGCGCCTGCGCCGTCTGCCTTCCCCAGTCCCGGGGGGAAAACAAACCCGGAGCCGACGTCGCGCACTCCGGGGACTCCGGGCCGGGTCGCTCTTCCCTCTTCCAGTGCGGCTGCGGGTCGAGTCCCCCCGAAAGCTCCGCGGGGGTGTGGGGAGGTAAGAACACCCCAGAGCAGACATCTTGGCCTCTCCACACCCCCGCTGCCCTCACGGAGGGGGCGGGACGGCCCCCGGCGCTGCCGACCTGGGCAGGGGGTTTGGCCCTCTGCTTCCTACCGGCGCTGAGCCGGCGCCCCCCACCCGTGCCCCCGCCGAGCCCCCGAAGACGGCCGGGGAACCACCACCCTCGAACCTCGCGTCCCCTGGGCGGAGCCTGCAGGGCCGGGCCGGGCCGGGCCGGCCGGGCAATCTCGGCGGCTGTTTACCGGGTCCCACCCACCCGGGTTGCCGGGAGGGCTCGACCCCGCCGGGGGAGCGACCCTGGTGGCGGCGGGGGGCGGAGGGAGAAGCGCCTCCAGGGCCCCCTGACCCGCCGCGGGGTGGGGGGGGCTGTCGTCCCCGCGGAGTGGTGGCCTCTGCGCTGAAAGGTCTCGGTCCCCCAGACACATCTGCCGTCCCGCTCCTGCTCTCGCAGACCCGCTCCCGCACCGACGCTTCTCATTGTGGACCCGAAGGATGCGGTGGTGTTGCTTTCCACCACCCTGTCTTTGGTACCTTGGAGAAATTCTGAAAGATGACATAACTTTATACGCTTAACTTATTTGTACTAACATCGCAAAATACTGTATTCCGGACTAAGGGTGTTCTTGTTTGCTTGAGTCATGGGGAAATCAGCTCATAAACTTGATCATCGTGTTTATTTAACAAAATAGACAATTTGTTGGTCGAATCAGGTTCTTTATATTTTTTGAGTTTGCTGTCTTCTGCACTGTTAGAAGTTTAATGGTTTGATTTAATGCAACTCCATGTAATTTTCACCTTCTTTCTACTGTTTTTCTCCTTTAATATTGATCTGATAATAGTATCAAAATTTTAAAAACTAAAGAATGAGAAATAATCAACTTTAATTCCACTATTTGAAGGCAGTCAGTCATAGTTAATATTTAAAATTTTTACTTTCAATGTTTTCATGACGTTTTCTTTCTTTTATATGCCTTTTCAAATGCGTTGGTTTAATTCCAGGTAGTACAGAATTCAGAATAGAACAAAGATTGAAACCAAGCATGGTTTGGCAGAATTCTGTACTGGGCTTACTCTCACCTCATAGCTGAGGTAGAAGTGGCTGAGTGAGAAGAACTAAAGAGAAGATGAGCCACTTTGTGATTTTTTTTTTTTAAAGATTAATTTTATTTATGCATACAAGAACTGGGGTGTAGGCCAGAGGTGGGGATGGGGGAGAGTGGGAGGATTCACCATAGACAGAATGGGGAGCAGAACAGGCGGATTGGTTGAAATACACCGTAGATTGGAGGTGAGGCATGCTTATTTTGTAAAGTCCCCCAATAGATTTTTTTTTTAAGGTTTATTTATTTATTCATATAAGAGCCCGACTGCAGGCCAGAGGTGGAGGGGGTGAGAGGATTCACCGAGACAGAGTGGCAAGCAGAACAGGCAGACTGACTGAAATACATTGCTGAGGGGAGCAGCAGGTGAGACAGGAGAGGTCTCCTGTGCCATGTGGGTAGCTCCCTGGCTGGGGATCTAACTCGTCCTGCAGTGGCTGACCATAGTGCTGAGACTTAACCCCTTGCTCCACCAGGGAGGCCCTGATTTTTTTTCTTAACAAAAGTTTATTCTTAAATGTATAGTAGGCTCCATGACACTTCATTCTAGCTATTATTGGCAAAAGATATTATGACAGGGAATCCGTATGTTTCAACAGAAATGGAATTAAGCACCATTGCCTTAGGTGCAAGGACTATTTCACTTTTTGCCAAATTTCTTAGTTCCATCTGTGGCCAGGGGATCTTTCCCTACAGCCTTTGCTTTCAGCTCCTCCATTTTCTTCTGCTCCTCATTCTGTTTCTGCTAGATTACCTTATCTTCCTGGTGCATCTCCTTGGCCTGTTTCTTGGGCTGCTTTCGATGCTTCTTGCTACCTTTGGGTCTGCTGCCCCTTCCCCCCAGAACCTGCCATCATGTTGTTTACTTGAGATGAAATTTTATATATAGTTGGGCTGCCTGTTTTTTGCCAAACACTGTATTTTAGATTTTTTCTTATGTTTAAAAATAAACTCCATGAACATAACTTTGTGATTTTTTGATTGCTCAAATAATACATGAGCAAATATCTTTTGAAACAGTTGCATTACAGATAAAGCTAAATTCCCATTTATCATCCCCAAAATGTCACATAAAAAAATGGTATCACGGTTTATTTAACCCACTGAGACTCAAGACTAATAAAGCCTTTGTTTTCTAATTCAGTATATTGACCATTTTAGAAATTAAAACTCAGAAAAATTTTAATTATTTAAAAATAACAAATCCATTATATATTAAATTTTAAAAATATTTTGACTGAAAAATAACTATTAAAAAAACTTAGAAGGGTGGCATTGTTTTCTATTTTTGAAATTACTTTAATATATAACTTTATAGGAGAAAGCTGTATTCCTGTTTGTTTCTGTGTTCAATCTGGTGAACCATGTTAAGAAAATGTTAATCATTTAAAAATAAAAAAAATAAATTTTTATTTTAAAATAAAAATTAAAGAAGCATTTATTTAGAAAAGAAAGACCTCACAGACCCACTGAAAGGCTCTCTCAGTGACTCCCAGGGTTCTCAGACCATAGTTTGGGAAAAATGATTTAACCAAGTATCTATAAACTGTTAGGTTCTTTACAGTTTTACACTATTACAGACATTACAACATTAAAAGTTCTTAGTGCTGTGTGCTTGTGCAGGAGTGCTATTGTTTCTGTAGTGTACAAGTAGAATTGCTCAGTCATAGTGTATGTACTTTTGTAGTTTTCATAGACCTAAAAAAATACTTTTCATGATTGCACACTTATATATTGTGTCCTGATGTTGTTAGACGACTTCAGCTCATGATTAGTGAAAAATATTTGAATATTTCTAAAAAAAGAATTGTTAGATCAAGGGTTAGGAATCTTTTTGAGGATGTTGGTACATACTGTCATATTGTTTCCCAGATGGGGTGTATCAACTTACTTCTGACAATTTATGTCAGCAGTATCTGAGATGCTTTTTTAACCTTTAACCTTACCAATATTGAGTGCTTTTATTATTTAAAAAACTGTGTTCTGATTTAATAGGCAACAAATGGTATGTGTTCTAATTCTCTTACGTTGATACTGTGTTGAACATTTTTTTAATAAACTTACTAGTTCCCTGTTTTCATATTATTTACCTATTTATAACAGTGTCCAGGTGTTTCCTAGCAGATTTTTTATCTTTTTATGTTGTAAGGATTCATGCTATAATTTTTTAAGGAAAGTTACCAAAATTTCTTTCTTTCCCTGTTAAAAAGCAGTACATTTTTGTAAAAAAGAGAGATACTATTGAGACATATCATGTAGATGTGAATGGCTTCTATAATCTCAGATATCATTTTTTAAACTGAATATTCACTGAGCTTACACTGCTTTGCATCATTATGTTTCAGATACATCATTATAATTCTCTATCTGTAAATAATACAATCACTACCAAAAGTCTAGTTTCCATCACCCATATATTTGAACCCCTTTATCTCTTTTACCCAGTCTAAAGCCCCATTATTATGTTTGTTCCTCTCTTATATTTTCCTGTGCCTGTGCTATAATTTATTTTTGCAATTTGTTTGTAAAAATGGTTTGTATTATTTGTGAAATTTTGTGGTTTGATTTTTTTGTATTTAAAATTACGTATTAGATATTTTTCTATAGAGGTGCACATAACTCTGGCTAAAGTTTTATCCAGAGTGGCTTGGGTAATACTAATTGTGATCTTTAGTCATCTGATGTCAAGTTCTTGCCCTCTTCTGTATTTTCTTCCTAGGTGATCTCATCCATTAACAGCTGTGTGCTGCCAGTTCCCAAATCTTTATCTATCTCAGACTTCTCTCCTGCATTCCAGATTCTTATATTCAACTGCCTATTGGACAGCTCCCCCAGGATGTTCTTAAGGTACTTCAAACAGCAGTTCAAACCCGAACTCATGTTTGCCCTCTGTCCTGTTCCTCTTTTGTATTGCCTGTCATGGTTAGTGGTAACCACGCTGCCCAGTCACCCGTGATGGAAGCCTGGCAGTAATCCTCATTTTCTTCTTTGCTTTCACTCTCCAGAAGTTGGCATTCTTTAGCCACTTTTACAGTTACCTCCTTTCTATCTGTACTGCACTGTCTCAGCTCAGGCCCTTGTCATCTCTCACCATAACCAAGTTAGGACCCTCCTTACTGTGGTGTTACTGATTTTTTGATTAATCATGTGGCTGCCAGTTTTCTTTTAATCATGAAGAGATTTTTCAGAAACTATATTTAGTAAGAAAATATATTTGTCTATAAATCTCATAGTACATAAATGGCCAAATAAATAAAAATATTACCTAAAACAGAATTTATGAACACACAAACTTTAGATTGGGAAGTATCTCTTTTATTTCTTTTGTATCTGCCTGACATTGTAGTTTATTGGCACAGTAAGTATATCTTAGTTGATTGAAGTGGGAAGTATGTGCAGCTTAATAAGATTTAATGGTAGAAGATTCCAGTGTACAGTATTTGCATTGTCATACCTTTTATAAATTGTTGGATTGATTTTTAAATTATCTTACCATTTTTGATATCTCTTAGACACCTCACATAATGCTTCTTAGTACATTGCTATTTTCATAGTCTCTGTAAATAGATATTTATTTCTTTTTTTAATATTTATTTATGTATACAAGAACTGGGCTGCAGTCCAGAGGGGCAGAGGATGAGAGGATTCACCAGAGACAAAGTGGGGAACAGAACAGGCAGATTTACTGAAATACAGTGGGTGAGACAGGACAGTGTGCTGCACCATATGTGGGTTAGCTCCCTGGCCGGGGATGGAACTCAGGCCACAGTGGTGATAGCGTGATAGCACTGAAACTTAACTCCTATGCCACCAGGGAGACCCACAAATAATTTACTTTTGGAATTTCAGAGACATGGTTCCAGTATTTTCTAGCTACTGGTATTGATAACCAGCTGATCTATTATTTCTCTCTGGAAGCATTTATATCTATTCACTAGGTATGTATTAAGCACATTTTATGTGGCAGGCACTGGGCAAGATACTTGGAATATATGGGTGAACAAATATACAAGACTTCTGCCCTCATGATGCTTACACTTATGGAGGAGTTGTTCAAAATGATAAACAATGAATAAATACATTATACACAGTGTTAGGAGGTCATCAATAATAAGTGCTTTAGAAAAGAGCAGGATGGGAGGACAGCAGTGTTGGGTAAAAAAAAGGTGGGGTTACAGATTGTGGCATGAAATGGAGTTATCGTCCCTTAAACCGCTTAGGTATTCTGGAATTTCACAATGATATAATTTGGTAAGGGTTTCTCATTCATTGTGTTGGACCCTAAATGTTCCCTTTCCACTTGGTGACCATTTTCTTCAGTTCTGGGGTATTTTATTTGACAGCTTAATTCCCTTTTCCCTTACACTTTCATTCTGGGCTGCTGCTTTGGATAGTGTACTTCATTACTCATTAGAGTCATTCTTTAATTTTCTAATCTTTTCCCCTGTTTTCCTTCCCTTTTTTTTCCTAGGATGCTTTCTCAACTAGATTTCATTATTTTAAAATATATTTTAGAACAGTTTCAGATTTCTTGTATTATTACAAAGATAATACAGAGAATCCAGATAGACCCCACACCCATTTTCCCTATTGATACGTTTTACCTTAGTATGGTACATTTGTCCTGATTAACAACCAATATTGATACACTGTTAGTAACTAAAGGTTTGTACTTCAGTCACATTTCCTCACTTTTCCCCTAATGTCCTTTTTCTATTCCAGAATCTCATCCAAATAACACAGTACACTAAGTAATTTTGTTTCTTAGACTCCTCTTGGCTGTAACAATTTCTCCTTCTTTGTTTTTGAGCCTTTTTTGACAGTTTTGAAGATTATTAGTTAGATGTTTTGTAGAATGTCAGTTGGAATTTGTCTGATGTCTTCCTCATAATTAGATTGGGGTAGTATCTGACAACAGAGACAAGGTATCATTCTTCTCTTATAATATCAAGGGTACATACTAACCATATTACTTAATCACTATTGATGGTATAACTCTGATCCACTGGCTTGAGGTAGTGTCTGTTACTATGGGGTGATTTTTTTTTTTTCCTTCTCTCTTTCCATACAGTACCCTTCAGAGGAAAGCCACAATATATGGCATACTCTTAAGTGAGGAGTTGAGTTCTACTTACTTGAAAGCAAAGTATTCACAGAAATTACTTGGAATTTTTCTGGATGGGGGATTTGTCTTGCTCCCATTTTATTATTTAATCACTTATCTCATCATGAACTTAGATATTTTTATGCTTTGGATTATAATCAGTACTGCTTTGTTGTTCAAATTGTTCCAGCTTTGGCCTTTGAGAGATTTTCCAGTTGGTTCCTGTATCCCTTTGACATCCTTCTGTGTGTGTGTGTAGAGAAGGTTGTGGAGGGGAGTGTCTTTGAGGCATAAAATGCTCCATGCTCATCTTGTATATTTTCTATCCCAAACTTAGAATCAGCTGTTTATCCAAGGAGTCTTGGTTCCTTTTGATGGAGAAAACAATATCTAAGTGTGCTTATTGCTGTTGGGATGTCTTGCTTATGTACCCTTTCAGCTGATAGTACAAGAGAAATAATATATATTTTAAAGATTGATTTATTTATTCATACAAGAGCTGGGGTACAGGCCAGAGTTGTGGGGTGTGAGAGGATTCACCAGAGACAGAGTAGGGAACAGTACAGGCAGATGGACTGAAACACACTGCTCAGGGGAGCAGCAGGCAAGCCAGGACAGGTCTGCTGTACCATGTGGTAGCTCCCTGGCCGGGGATTGAATTCGTGCTGCAGTGGCTGTGGGTAGCTTCATAGGTTGCATCTTAACCCCTTGCGCCACCAGAGAGGTTTGAAATAGTGTATTTATTCTTGATATCTATAGATACTTAAAATAAAAAATTAGCATTATGTAGCCATCTGACTAAGCTAAACATTACATATTTATTCTGATATCTCCATTGAGTACATGCATTACCACATGAATTATTTTAGCTTTCTTTCCTTCCTTACATATAACTTTCCCTTCCAACAGTGAGAAACCTGATTTCAGTTACCAGCCATCCATTTCAATGTCAGGTGGTTTCAGAATTGTTAACTGGTACCCCCACAGGAAACAGCTGTATCAACTAGAATACAATGCACATGGTCCTTTTGCCTTGAGTCTTACAGACTCTACTCTTTTCCAGAGGTAGTACTTTGTTCCTCCACGTACTTCAGTAAGGTTGGTTTATACATTTGTAATTTATTTAGACTCTGGCCACATTCCGCATTTCATTCTGAGATTCTCTAAATTTTTAGACCTTCTAAAATTTTTTTTTAATTTGCGTATGTTGAGGTTTATTTTTTGTTTTGTAAAGTTCTGTTGGTATTGACAAATGCTTAATGTCTTATATCACTGTTATGGTATCATACAAAATAGTTTCACCACACTAAACTATCCACTGGGCTTTATCTTTTCAACCCTTTGCACTCAAACCATGGGCAACCACTTATGTGTTTACTGTCTCTATAGTTTTACCATTTGCAGAATGTTATAGAATTAGATGGTAGATTGTTTTTTTCAGTTGGTAGATTTTTTTTTAAGACTGTTTTTTTTTTTCACTTAGCACTATGCATTTATGATTTGCTCATGTCTTTTTGTAACTTGATAATTTATTTTTTTATATCACTGGGTAATACTCCATTGTTTGGATATATCACAGTTTACTTACTCATTCACTGACTGAAGGACAAAATTTGAGTGCTTCCAAATTTTGCCAGTTTTGAATGTGGTTGCTATAAATTTTCAATATAAGTTCTTAGTGGATTTAAATCTTTAAATCAATGGGATAAAGGGCTAGCAGTGTGATCATTGGATCATATGGTTAGACTAGTTTTGTAAGAAATTGTCAAACTCATTACAAAGTGACTATCATTTTGCATTCCCACCAGCAATAAATGGGAGTTCTTGCTGTTCAGCATCTTCATAGTGTATGTTATTGTCAATATTTTGGATTTTAGTCATTGTAATAGATGTGAAGTGATACTTCATTGTTTTAATCTGCAATTCCCTAAACACAGATGATGTTGATTTTATTTTTATGTGCTTATTTGCTATGTTTATGTCGTCTTTGGTGAAGAGCTTCTTTTGTTCAGAGCTTTTGCCCTTTTAAAATTGCATGCTTTTTTAAAATTTTTAAAAAAAATTTCTTTTTTAAAGATTTATTTATTCATCCATACAAGAACTGAGATACAGGCCAGATGTGCGGGAGGGTGAGAGGATCCACCAGAGACAGAGCGGGGAACAGAACAAGCAGACCAACCAAAATACACTGCTGAGGGGAGCAGCGAGCGAGACAGGAGAGGTCTGCTGCGCCATGTGGGTATCTCCCCAGCTGGCAGGGATTGAACCCATGCAGTAGAGGCTGAGGACAGCTTCATAGCGCTGCGCTCAACCACCTGTGCCACCAGGGGGGCCCCAGCATTGCTTATTTTTTAATTATTGAATGTTAAGAGTTTCTTGTAGATTTTGTTTTGTACATATGTGTTTTGCAAATACTACCTCTCAATTTTTGTCTTCTCAGTCTCTTAAAAGGGACTTTTTCAGAGCAGATAATTTTAATTTTAATAAAGTCGAACTTACTGATTTTTTTGTTTGAGGAATCAGTAAAGTCATCATATCTAAAGTTTGTGGAATCTCTCTTATGTTTTCTTCTGGACGTTTTATGAAATTATACTTTACATTTAGATCCATTAACAGTTTTAAATGCATTTTTATGTAAGCAATAAGATCTGTATCTAGGTTCATATTTTTGTATGGAAGTGTTCAGTATTTTTGGCACCACTTGCTGAGAAGACTGTCCTTTCTCTTCAAATTGCCTTTGCCCCTTTGTCAAATACAAGTCGACTGTGCTTGAGTGGACCTGATTCTGGGCTGTCTCTTCTGTTCCATTGATCTGCTTGTTTCTTCTTGTGCCAGTACTACTTTCTTTTTTTTTTTTTTTTTTTTTAAAGATTTATTTATTTATTTATACAAGCACTGGGTACAGTCAGAAGCGCGGGAGGGTGAGAGAATTCACCAGAGCCAGAGCGGGGAGCAGAGCAGGCAGAAGGACCGAAGTACACTGCTGAGGGGAGCAGCGGGCGGCAGGAGAGGTCTGCGCGCCATGTGGGACCCTCCTCCAGTGGCCGGGGAGCAGATGGGGATCGAACTGGCACCACAGAGGCCGCGGGCAGCTTTGCAACCCAGCGCTCAACAGCTGCGCCACAGGGGAGGCCCTGCCAGTACTACTTTCTGTTGACTACTGTAACTTTGTTGTAAGTCTTCAAATTAGAGGATGAGTCCTCCAACCTTGTTCTTTTTCACTTAGGTAGTGGTTGTTCTAGGGAAACTCTAGAATACTTTATGTGTACATTAGAATCAATTTTCCTGTAACTTCTGTTCTTAGCTTATGAGTTTTCAGTCTTTTTTCTAGTTTAAGCATCTTAAGGCTCTAAGTAGCTGTTGAACTAACATTTTGCTGAATCCCACTAGTTTTTACAAAATTTTAACTGATGGTACCTATAACCATTTTTAGCTTTATGAATTCTTCTTTACCCATGAGCTATTCAGATAAATGATTTAAAATTTACAATGGGTTATCTATGTAATTATTGTTGAGTGTGTTTTTCATGTCATTTTTGTATATATAGTCAATTTCCCCATCTAAATTGTAGACCCCTCAATGCAGTACTTTTAAATTTTATTTGTATCTACTTTCTAAATTTCTTGGCATGCAGTAGATGGCATAATTATATATTAGACAGTTAAATGAATTATACTTTCTATTTTCTAGACATACAGGAATTAAATTCTGAATAGACCTAGAAGTAGAATGGACAGTTATTTTAAAGCAGCGGTCAGTGATTTGGACAGACTTCTTGATGATTTTGAACAGAATCCAGGTTTGTTGATTTTTCATTTTTATCGCTAATGGAATTTTGTTTATTTTTAATGAATGACTTATTTGCTATTGAAATAATGAAATTTTAATATGTTTGTAATTCACTTATCTCCAGTACAATGTACTCAACAAAATTTGCCTTCAATTCTGGTCACATGTTATCTTACATATAACTTTTTAATTTCATTTTAGTATATTAGTTTATTCTTATACTGAATGAACCAATAGCCAGAAAACTAGAGGAAACTAGAATTTTCTCTCCAGTTACAATTTTAGCTAAAAGAAAAACCTTTGAAATAAATACGTGAGCTGACTAAAAGGAACTTGAAAGCTTTAGGTAAATGGGCATTTTATTACTATAAAAAAGGGTATTTTTCTCATCTTAGAATGATGACTAGGAAACTGGAGTACAGAATAAAATAGATTGTTTTTTTAACTCTTCCTTAGTCAGGTTTTTGTAGTGCAAACTGAATTATTTTGAATGGACTTTCTATCACTGCATGACATCTGTATTTAGAAACAAAAGTCCCATGTACTTTAAATACAAATAAAGATGATTTCATAGCGTATTACCATTTTGTAAGAGATGAATTTATCTCTGCTCTTAATTTAGTTTGGAAATCTTAGCATCTTTGTAATAATATTGATTTGGGTCTCTTTAACATATATCTCTGTTTTAATTAGATGAACAAGATTATCTTCAAGAGGCACAATATGCATATGATTCTAATCATTGTTCAGTCTCTTCAGAATTGGCTTCCTCACAACTAACTACGTTGCTATCAAAGGATCAGCAATGCATTAATTGTGCCTCATCTGATACTTGCTATGAAACAAATAAGATTTCCCTAAATGAAAAAACTCTCGAGGGATTAACTTCTGTACAAAATGAAAAAAATGTTACAGGACTTGATCTTCTTTCTTCTGTGGATGGTGGCACTTCAGATAAAATCCAACCTTCATATATGGGACGATGTAGTAAACCTGTCTGTGATCTGATAAGCGACATGGGTAACTTAGTTCATGTAACTAATAGTGAAGAAGATATTAAAAAACTATTGCCAGATGATTTTAAGTCTAGTGCAGATTCTTTGATTGGATTGGATTTATCTTCAGTGTCAGAAACTCTTTGTGATTCTTCATTAGGCCATGGCGATAATACTGTCAGAGAGGAACAGAATGATACCAACTCTGAGTTGCAAAGTAGAGAAATCAAAGGAACTAAAAAATTGGATATAAAAGTAGATACAACACTTTCAGATTCATATAATTATGATGGAAAAGAAAATTTAAAAGATAAGTTTTCTAATCAGTTAGAACCAGTTGTTGATTTCAACATGCCATCTGCTTTGAGTCAACAAAGTTCCAAAACATTTGATGCCAAAGACCACCTACGGCCCAAGAACCAGCCTTGTGAAATAAAAGCTGATGGTTTTTTGGTAAAAGAAGAAGTAGATATGGCAGTCACAGCTGCCACAGAATACCTAAAAGAAGACAGCACAAGTGGTTTGCCTTACAGTCTTCCACAAAATGAAGGTTTGTGCTTTAATGAATCAAATTCAGGAGATGAATATACCAAATTATATGATTTTTCCTTTCAGGAAGATAGGACTGCTATATTTATAAAACAGTCTGCAAAAGAAGACTCAAGAAGTACCGATCTTAAAGATAATAAAGATATAGCCCAAGATTCCTCTTCAACTTTACATGTTCTAAGCGAAAATATTTATTCATCATTGTCTTGTCTTCCAGTGCCTGGGTCTTTGTGTGGATCATTAATTGAAAGTAAAGCTCATGGTGATTGTTTAACTCAAAATGACTCTAAAGATAATATACAAAATACAGTAACTGAGGATGAAGAAATACCGAAAAGTATTATTCTAGGTGGGGAGCAATTGAAGGAGGCTGATTTTTTGAGACAGGAAAAATGTGAAAAGATTCACGAGCCACTAAGTGAGAAGACAGGGGACAGAAAGTTAGATCCTGACGAGACAGTAGGCACAGTTGAATCTTTGGATTACCCAGATCGTATCAATTTTTCTACTGCTGCAGAAGCTCAAATGGAACTTTCTGGTGCAAATGACCCAGAATCTCCTGATCATTGTGAAGATCTCACTTTTTCAAACAGTATTGATGGGCAAGACTTAGATTACTTTAATATTGATGAAGGCATTAAGAGTGGTGCATTAATTAGTGATGCTGAACTTGATGCTTTTTTGACAGAACAGTATCTTCAGACTGGTAACATGAAGTCTTTTGAACAAGATGTGAATGTCTCAAAAACTCAGATGAATCAGATAGATATGAAAGGCTTAGATGATGGGAACATCAATAATACGTATTTCAATGCCAAAGCAGGAGCTACTGGGGAAAGTCCTGGTGTTAATATGATTTATGAGGCAGTTGATAAACAAAAAACAACAGAAAATGGTGACCTTTCTTTAGAGGAAAAAAGCTCAGTTCCAATTGAACAGTTATCTAGCAGTAAGTCTGAAATTACAAATGAATTATCAGTCTCTGATATTAACAGCCAATCTGTTAATGTTGGAGGGGCTAGACCTAAGCAATTGTTTAGTATTCCATCAAGAACAAGAAGTTCAAAGGAACCAAATAAACCAGATGTTCCAAATATGCCAGAAAGTGAGCCCAGCATAGCAAATACTGTTGCTTCAACCACTTGTACTGCAAATTCTACAACTGATCATCAGGTTGGTTTCAACTCTAATTACATTGATATAGAAAGTAATTTTGAAGGTGGATCCAGTTTTGCAACTGAAGAATCCCGACCTGCAATCACTTGTAAAGAAGGCCTGGTTTTGGGCCAGAAACAACCTCCTTGGGTTCCTGATTCAGAAGCTCCAAACTGTATGAACTGCCAAGTCAGATTTACTTTTACAAAACGGCGACACCATTGCCGAGCCTGTGGGAAAGTAAGTTATAGTCTCTGAGTTTTTTATTTTGAAATGTTTTAAATAAAATTTAATGTAGCCACAAAAAACCCTGATGAATAGATGATTAAAGGATTTAACTATTTTAAAATCATTGTTTTTTACCTACATGGATATGTATAATGCATTGTCATTTTACGGGTTGATTGAGGGTTGACATGGGTATTCTACACTGGGAAATGAGGCACATTAACTACAAATTTTTGGGAAATCTAATAATACTTGTTCTTGTCTCACTAATATGTCACAGATGTTCCAAATTCAAATGGATGCCCCTTTATCTTTAAATAATAGCAAGACATTCTGCAGCTAATACTTAGATAAGGGAAACACTCGAGGAAAAATATTGACTTGCATAAGGAAGCTGACCTTCTTTGCATTCTGATTCTTAGTTGTTTATGAACTTATTTATGAAGAGTTGCTTTTAGAAATAGCACTGCATTTTTTATCCAGTATTTTTCAGGTATAGGTTGGTTTCAAGTCAACCTCTCTCTCTGAAAAATAGTAACATTCTACTTTTAAAGGTTCTTTTTAATATCCAAAAAAGGTTATTAAAAGAAAGGAAGGGAGAAGAAGATGCTTGCATAGAAGCATGCAGGCAGAAAGAGCTGCCTGCTTTTTATAAGTTTTATATAAAGAGCCATAGAAAACTTTTTAAATTATAAACTTATTCACTAAAGAAAACTTTTTTTTTGAAGATTTATGTATACATACAAGCACTGGGGCACAGGCCAGAGGTGTGGGGGGGTCAGAGGATTCAGCAGAGACTAAGTGGGGAACAGAACAGGCAGACTGACTGAAACACACTGCTGAGGGGAACAGTGGGTGAGGTGGGAGAGGTCTGCTGTGCTGTGTGGGTAGCTCCCTGGGTGGCCAGGGATCAAACTCGTGCTGTAGAGGCTGCATATAGCTTCATAGGCTGCGTCTTAACCTCTTGCACTACCAGGGAGACCCTCACAAAAGAAAATTTTTATTCCTTTCCATGGACAGGATTGATGTCAAGAAATTCTCCTTGTCAAAGATATGACTTTAAATTGCTGACCTAGTTAAAAAAAATCATTTTAATAACTACCTATAATTATGGTGATTAGACAAGTTATTTGTATAATAAGAAAAGTGTTTTTAGTTAATTAGATTTTAGGACTGTCCTTTCCCTGCCTCTAGTAAGTTTAAATATGCTTAAAAAATAAAATTAATTTTCTGTTTTATTCCTTATAGGTATTTTGTGGTGTCTGTTGTAATAGGAAGTGTAAATTACAGTATCTAGAAAAGGAAGCAAGAGTATGTGTAGTCTGCTATGAGACTATTAATAAAGGTGAGTATTAACCTGACATATTTTCTTCCAGTAATTGAATATATCTTAAAAACAATTGGATTGTGACAAAGATAAACTTCTTTATTTTCTTAAGGCGAGGACCTAGTGTTGACTTATCTGGCTTAGGTGGGACATCCCAAGGCTTGGTTTCTCTTCTTTTTGTTCCACTCTCACAATTAATACTACCAGTGTGGAAAGGAAGCATTCAGTTTCTGGAGTGGCAGTTCATTAACTTTGAACAGGTACCAAAGTCCCTAAATGCTGCATTTTTCCTGCCTATTTGTTTTTGTCGTCATTATTGTCATCCTCATCATCTTAATGTAAACACTTGTAGAATACCTACCAGGAAGTAGCATTCAGCCTTATATATTGCCAGCATAAGGGAAGGTAATAGTTCCCACCCTTTAATTAATTACAGTCTAAAGTGGGAATAAAAGGTAGTAATGTTTATGAGTTTATAGACAAATTCATAGGACTGCCATGCTATTTGCATGTTTTTGTCTCATTTCTTTCCCTTCCTAATTTTAAAATTCTGTTTGTATGTGTTTCCCATTGTTTCTCTGGATCCCTAGCTAGCTATCCTTATCAGCAATAATCTTGAGAGTCTTACTTGAGTTCTTACAGTTGTGTGTATGTTACCTTTTTTTCCTCAAATACATGTTTGTTCTTTTGATTACTTGGCATTTTCAAAGTTTTGTTGACCGTTTAATTCCCAGCAATCATTACTTGGGACTTTTTAAAACCAGGCCTGTGCACTAACTCAAGCACTGCTTCCTGTTAGCCAGGACAATACCTGATAATAATTTGTTTTTCTCTTTTGAGTGAAGATAAATTTTTTCAACAATTCTTCACAAAGCTCTGATGTGAGTCTGTTAGCCTCAGGTAAGCTGCTTTACTCTCTGCTGTTGCTCTCTGCTCTGGAAGGTAGTATACATCTTTGCAAACTGTACCTTTTTTTTTTTATAAAAAGGTCAGTTTTAATGCTTGTAGTTTTGTTTTTTCCTTTTGCTTTCTCAGTAGCCTAGAAGATAACTCTGGTGTTGTTAGAGCAAGCTTCCACATAAGTGTCTCTCCCCAATTCGAAAGTAAATGAAACAGTTATGAGGATTTTGAATAGTATTGAGTTGATAGGTCATCATTTCAAGTAAGCATTAAAACATTCTGACTGTAAGCATTCAGGAGGGGTCATACTGAAGAGACTTACTTGGCATATTGAGATCAAGCTTTGGTTTATCAAAGTATTTTTTGAATGAATTTGTTCATTTACCTGTTTTATTCTGTAAGTTTTATTTTGGCTGTATCATTAGTTGATACACCACAAGAAAGCATAAAGTTATTTTAACATTAACTTTCAGGTTGAAAATGATAGGTGATCATTTAAACAGTGTTGTTAAAGAAGAGAAAGATAACTAAAGGGCTGTAAGACAAAGTCCTTGAAGGACTAGAAGACAGATTGATTAGAGAATTTGGATAATAAGGCAGGTGTGCTAAGGATGTGTAAGTTTTGAAGGAAGCATGTGTGTGAGTACCGTTAGGAGATTTGGAGCAAGTTGTAAATTACTTTGAAATCCAGAGTAGGATGTTTGGATTTCATTTGGTTAGTGGAAACCATTTCATGAGAGTGCTGTTATTCAGTGGTACTTGAGGAAGTTTATTTTAGCAGTGGCAGCATTTATAGGAGAAATGCCAAAAGAAGAACTGCCAGTGCTGTTCCATGTCATTTGAATGAAAAATCATTCAGCAGTATTCAGGCATGCTTCTGCAGTTTGGAGCTCTAGCTGAGAACAAAATAGAGTCCTTGTTCTCTTGGAACTTACGATTTAATGAATGTGGGGAGATTAGAAGAGCAAACAAGGAGACTATCAGATGGCAATAATATTCTAAAAAGAATGTAAGAGGAATAGATAGTAACAGATTGTTGGCAAAAGGTAGTATTAATGATGGTAAGAGAGTAAGGCTTTATATGGCATGTGAGCAGAGACTTGAAATGAGAGAATAAAATTATATGTGTACCTATGGAAAGAACATTCTATACAGAGAAAAGAATTAAGAGCAAAGATTCTAAACTAGAGGAGTACTTGCCTGACTTAAAGAACAAGGAGGCCTGGTAGCTGGCTCATAATTTGTGAGTGGGTTTGCAATGAGAGATGAGGTCAGACAGCTAACTGGGAAGGCAGAGGATATAGACTAGATAAGGTTATGTGGCATTGAAACACCTTAAATTTTCACTCCAGTTGGGAAGCCTTTAAAGGATTATTAAACAGAAATGGTGTGATAAGATACATGTCTTCAAAGATTCACTCTGAATTGTGTTGTAAATAGACTTAGGGTAGATATCAAACATATGCCAAATATAATACTGAAATAGCTAATTGGTAACTTATACTGAAGTGGAGGGCTGCCAGCTAAAGTAAAGATTTTATCTTTGCCAAGTGTTACTCCTTTTTCTTTCTTAGTCATTGATACTACAGTTTACATTAAAGTTCAAAAATGTGAGATTTTAATATTTTTTTCCCCTTTATAGCTCAGGCATTTGAACGGATGATGAGTCCAACTGGTTCTAATCTTAAATCCACTCATTCTGATGACTGTGCCACTAATCAGCCTCTTCAGGAGACTCAAACATCCGGTACACCTTCACCTACAACTTTACCGATCTCAGCACTTAAACAACCAAGTGTTGAAGGTAACTAGAAGGAATTGCTTTGTCTTAGACTAAAGATAACTTATTAAATAAGATAAGTATTTTCTAGTGTAGACAAGATCTAGTGAGGAATGAGAAACCAGACTAGATAGCAGAAGGAATGTAAACAGGGAAGAACAAAAAGGGCATTGGCATGCTCAAGTGCCTCAGATTAGTAAGTGCAAGAAGCAACCACTACCCCTAGAGGATAGACATTGTTATTAGGGCTCAGCACAGGAACACCAGGAGGTACTTGGTTCCCAGATCTGGAATTCAGGAGTTAGGTGGAAGATGACTGGTGCTGTGACTTCTGGGGGAACACTATGTGGCACATACTAAAACCATCAAAGGGCTTCTTAGGGTTTGTGTTCAGATCACTGAAGGGAGTGTTCAGGGTGGGTTGGTTATTAGGAGTGTTGAAAATCATGGGCATGGAGCTTTATCTGGTGCTGCTGCTACTGCAAAGATCCTGGGAGGAACTAGAAACAGAATGAATTCATCCTCTTCCCACCTTCCAGTCTCCAACCAGGCTTACCACTGGCTGAACATTATCAAAAACCTGGGGGTTTGGGAGTTGTACTTTCCAAACAGCCAGCCTGACATCAAAGGGCACCACCATGTAAAAGGATGGACTTGGATTTGAGGGACAATAGGCAAACAATTGATTATCTCCCTCTCCTTAAATGTATATTTTACCATAATAAAAAGTACTTTTTAAAAATTTTAGGGCTCCCTTTTCTTTTTCATATCTTGTAGTTTAGGATCTTGAGTAAAGCCCAAGTACATTTTTAAAAGATTTCCCCTACTCTCTGAAAGTAGAACATTACTATTTGGTATGATGTACTATATTATTTTTGGGGTCTGGGAATACCATTAATTCATATATAATTTTTTGAGCATTGCAGACCCTGAAAAGAACCTACCAAATTATACCAAGAAGGGATGTTATACTTTTGGATAGCAGGAGAAACCTGTAGTCTGGAACAGATTAGAAATAACTATCAATGCCAGTTGAAGGCACATTTGGACACATTTTGGACTACAGTTTATCTTTCACTTAATAGCTATTTTCCATTTATTGTAACTTAAATAAGGAGATTCAGCATATATGGTTGTATACTAAAGCTCTACATATGAATAAATTTGTTTTTTTTTTTAAAGATTTTGTTTTGTTTTATTTTTTAAAGATTTATTTATTTATGCATACAAAAGCAGGGGTACAGGCCAGAGATGCTGGGGGGGGGGCGCGAGAGGATTCACCAGAGACAGAGTGGGGAACAGAACAGTCAGACTGACTGAAATACACTGCCGAGGGGAGCAGCGGGCAAGACAGGAAAGGTCTGCCTCGCCATGTGGGTTTCTCCCTGGCGGACTGGGGATCGAACTTGTGCTGCAGAGGCTGAGGATTGCTTCATAGTGTGATGCTTAATGCCTTGCACCACCAGGGAGGCCTGAATAAATTTGTTTTAAAAATCATTTACATAATCTCTTATTAACATCCTAAATTATTATTTTATAAAAGTATTACAAATCCAAGAAAAGCAGCTTATTTAATGTCTATCCATATTGTAAAAATTACATATGATTACAATTTTTTCATTGTTATCTGTATTATGTTCTCAGATATCTGGCAGCAATTTTCATAACCTTCCTCTGAATCTTTGTAGTACAGGGGAACAAATTTTTAGTTATTTCCTCCAAATTTGGGAAGTATACTAGAGAGCAATGAAGTTTAGTGTCTACGTAAGAGCAATGTTATGCTTCTCTTGTTAAAGAAATTAAAAGAAATGATGTCCAATGTATATATGATTTTGTTTCCTTTTTTTTTTTTTTTTTTAAAGATTTATTTATTTATTTATTTATACAAGCACTGGGTACAGTCAGAAGTGCGGGAGGGTGAGAGAATTCACCAGAGACAGAGAGACAGAGCGGAGAGCAGAACAGGCAGACTGACAAAATACACTGCTGAGGGGAGCAGCGGGCAGCAGGAGAGGTCTGCGCGCCATGTGGGACCCTCACCCAGTGGCCGGGGATCAAACCGGCGCTGCAGAGGCTGTGGGCAGCCTCGCAACCGCTGTGCTCAACCAATGTGCCACTGGGGAGGCCCCTTTTTTAAAGATTTTTTATGCCTCTTTCTGTTTACATGTTTTTCCTTATGTGCCAAACTCTGGTCTGTTCCATCCTCCCCATTTCCTTAATGGATAATTTCTATCAGTTCATTTTGGTATGTGATTCCTAGAGCTACTCCTGCCTTCTCATGAGTTAAATGTATCTACAGTTAGATACATTTAGATGTATCACTAAAGATTTTGCAACACATTGGCAATGCACGCTTGCCAGTGAATAACAAAAAGCTTTTGAACTGTTTTCTGATTTATTTAGTATTAAAATCATTGCAATATTGCCACATTAAAATAGTTTTATTTTTATGCCAGTTCTAGGATTATGCTCCAAAGAACAGAAGAGAGTATGGTTTGCAGATGGTATATTGCCCAATGGTGAAGTTGCAGATACAACGAAATTATCATCTGGAACTAAAAGATGTACAGAAGACTCTAGTCCTCTTTTACCTGATGTGCCCTTGGTAAGGAATATATAAAACGACTTGCTAATTTAGTGAAATTTGATTTTGTAGATAATTCCTTGTGTGATTATTAAGAGTACATTTTTTTTAATGTTCTGAGCTTCCTAGGATAGGAAATGTATTAATGCAGTGAGTGTCTTTTAGATTTTAATGTTTTTAATGTCTTTAAGGCAATAGTTCTCAAATTTCTTGGTTTCAGAACCCCCTTGTATTATTAAAAGTTTAGAATCCCAATGAACTGTAGATTTTTGGGTTCTGCTTACTATATTAAAATTAAACTTTAGAAAATATTTTAATTAAAAATTAACTCATTGTCCTAATACAAGCCATATTTTTCTGACAAAAAATTTTAAAACAAACATTTAGCTTATGGTAAAGCTGAAACTTATGCTTCTGAATTTAAAGAAGCAAAAGGGTACCATTTCTTGACAAATTAGGCTTCATAAGAATTTCTGAGCCCATTTCGCTTTATTTATTCTTATTAAAAAGGTTTGTTTGCCTACAGAGATCAGCAGTTCATAATTCAACAGAGAATATGAACTGACCTTTTTTTATTCTGTATTTTGCAGAAGGTAAACACACTGGATCATACCCATCCTGCTCCAGTGGAAAAACCAGACAATGAGATAGGAGATATTACAGGAAAAGAGATAATTCAGAGTCCTGTTTCTCAGGTTACATCTGTGGAAAAACTGCCTATAAACACAGGAACTGAGGAATTACCTACTTCTGCTTCTTTAACAACACTAGATGATAATGTATTTGCAGAAATTGAAGAATCATCTAGTTCTCCTAGTGTTTTAGTTAACAAGTTACCTGTTGTTAGTGCTTCAGATTATAGATTATTGTGTGGTGTTGACCAGCATGTTTGTAAGAAGATTAGTCTTCTACCTAATGATGAAGACGGCTTGCCCCCTCTTCTGGTTGCATCTGGAGAAAAGGGATCAGGTAGGATTGTAGTTACTTAAATTTAAAAAAGAATATTCTGATGAATTTTGTTTATGATGTATGAAATGCATTTTAAAAAAATTACGCAGTTTGGTTGAAATATGTACCATGGCTTGTAACTTTAGTTTATAAAAAAAATCTTAGTATTTAAAAACAATCTGGGCCTCCCTGGTGGCTCAAGGGGTTAAGACACAACCTATGAAGCTGTTCGCAGCCTCTGCAGCACAAGTTCGATCCCCGGCCGGCCAGGGAGCAACATGGCACAGCAGACCTCTCCTGACTTGCCTGCTGCTCCCCTTAGGAGTGTACTTTGGTCAGTCTGCCTGTTCTATTCCCCACTCTGTCTCTGATGAATCCTCTCACCCCCCTATGCCTCTGGCCTGTACCTCAGCTCTTGTATGCATAAATAAATAAATCTTTAAAAAAAAAATCTAAAACAATTTGAACATGTGAATTGAATTGACACATTTATTACACATAGGTCCCTAATTTAGAAAGTCTTTAATACTATTGAAACTCATAAACTTTTATTCCTGAGAAGTATTTCCATTATATTAGAGTTTTGACTCCATGTCATTTTTTTTTAAAGGAGCATAGTGCCTGAAGAAATTACTCTTGGATTGCTGAGAAAACTAGATATTTAGTTCCTCTTCATTCTACTTATAACATGGGTGGCTTGAATCATGCTATTTAATCTCTTTGAGCCTGTTTACTTTATAAAAGAACAGAAAATCTCTAAGGTCCTTTTCTTTCTTTTTTTTTTTTAAAGATTTATTTATTTATTTGTACAAGCACTGGGTACAGTCAGAAGCGCAGGAGGGTGAGAGAATTCACCAGAGCCAGAGCGGGGAGCAGAGCAGGCAGAAGGACCAAAGTACACTGCTGAGGGGAGCAGCGTGCGGCAGGGGAGGTCTGCGCGCCATGTGGGACCCTCCTCCAGTGGCCGGGGAGCAGCCGGGGATCGAACCGGCGCCGCGGAGGCTGCGGGCAGCTTTGCAACCCAGCGCTCAACCGCTGCGCCACTGGGGAGGCCCTCTAAGGTCCTTTTCAAGCTAGAGATTCTGTGGCTAGCTCATACCTGAGAGTGGTTTCCTAGGATACATTCTGCCACTCCAGGCACTATGCTGTATTCTGTAACATGAAATCATCATTTCTCTTCATGATGATGTAGGGGAATAAAGTATAGGATCTGTTGGGCCTCCCTGGTGGCACAAGGGGTTAAGACGCAACCTATGAAGCTATCCCCAGCCACTGCAGCATGAGTTTGATCCCCAGCCAGGGAGCTACCCACATGGCGCATAAGCCCTCTCCTGACTTGCCCGCTGCTCCCCTCAGCAGTGTATTTCAGTCAGTCTGCCTGTTCTGCTCCCCACTCTGTCCCTGGTGAATTCTCTCCCCCTTCCCCCCTGAACATCTCTGGCCTGTACCCCAGTTCTTGTATGCATAAATAAATAAATCTTTTTTTTTTAAAGAAAGATTTATTTATACACGAGCTGGGGTACAGGCCAGATGCGCGGGAGGGTGAGAGAATTCACCAGAGACAGAGCGGGGAACAGAACAGGCAAACTGACAAAATACACTGCTGAGGGGAGCAGTGGACGAGACATGAGAGGTCTGCTTGCCATGTGGGTTGCTCTGAGGCCAGAGGGGATTGAACCGGCACTGCAGAGGCTGCAGACAGCTTCACAGCACTGCGCTCAACCGCCTGCGCCACCATGGAGGCCCTAAATAAATAAATCTTAAAAAAAAATGCATAGGATCTGTTTTGTTAGTGGGAGCTAGTTCATGAACCTAGCAGTGACAAAAATACCTTAAGCCCAGTTCTTTGCATGTCAGTCATAATTTGATTATTATTTTTTTTTTCCTCTACATGTCACTGATAGAGGATGTATGATAGCAAACAGCATGTACAGCATGGGTCTAGATTACTTTCAGAGTCAGAATGGTACATTTTAGAATTTGTAATAGGAGCAGCTGGCAAACTAGATCCACTTCCTTTTTTTTAATTGTATTACTTGCATTGAGGTTATCTTGGTTTACAGTATTTGTATATAACTTGGGGGGTATAGGTTCATACCTCTTCAGATGTTAGACTCCACTTTAAAGATTGCTTGTTTTGGGGCCTCCCCGGTGGCGCAGCAGTTGAGCGCTGGGTTGCGAAGCTGCCCGCGGCCTCTGCGGCACCGGTTCGATCTCCGGCTGCTCCCCGGCCACTGGAGGAGGGTCCCACATGGCTCGCAGACTTCTGCCGCCCGCTGCTCCCCTCAGCAGTGTACTTCGGTCCTTCTGCCTGCTCTGCTCCCCTCTCTTGCTCTGGTGAATTCTCTCACCCTCCCACGCTTCTGACTCTACCCAGTGTATGTACAAACAAACAAACAAATAAATAAAAAAATAAAAATACATGCCTCTTTAAAAAAAAAAAAGATTGCTTGTTTTAACATTTTAAAGTTGCTAAAATGGTGTAAGTGTGCTATTTAATCAACATGCTTGCATGTCTACTATAATGATTTATATGTATTACATATTAATATCTTTATGTAAATAGTAAAGTTAAATGAGTAGTGGTGGTTTAGGGTATCGAGTTTATAAAATATGCTTTTAAAAAAGATTTGATCAATGTAGTGGATTTATAAATCTTTTTTATTGAAAGAGAAAGGAAATCACATTTATTTAATTAATATTAGAATATTAACATAGCAGGAAGTCACATATATTCTAATACATTGTTTTCATGGTTTAGTGCCTGTAGTTGAAGAACACCCATCTCATGAGCAAATCCTTTCCCTTTTTGAAGATGAAGGTTTTGGTCCTGTTACATTTGTCCTAAATGCTAATCTGCTTGTGAATGTCAAGTTAGTATTTTGTAAGTATGATTCACCTTACTTTACCTAATTGGTGAGCAGGATTTCTGAATTATTTACATCTTCAGGTTAGGTTTTGACTGACACCTATGAGAAATAAACAGTGTTGGATATTGGTTGTTTTTAAGCCAGGTATAACTGTAAATAAGTTTTGCAAATTTATATTCACTGGGATTTGAAATATAAGCTTAACAGATTTTTTTTTTTTTTTGGTAAGCTTACAGATTTAAACTAGTGTCCCTAGTGAATCCTTGCTTAAGGTTATTAACTAATAGCTAATCTGAATTTTGATGCTAATGATATAGTTGATTGTGTTTCATACAGCTTTTAGATAATTTTTAAAAGCAAGAATCCTGATTTAGTTACAATAAGACAGTTTTAAAGTAAATGACATAGGACCTACCTAAATTGGAAGTAGAGAATAATCCTTAATAATAAACAAACATCAGTACTCAACAATGAATCTATACCAACTTTTCATTCTCTTTGAAACTGACCTGATTCTTACTCCACTACATTTCAGCATATTGGTGTATCTTTTACTTTAAAGTTATTTATTAATTGACACCATAAGGGTCTTTCATTGTTTCCCTTTTTTTCTTTAATTGTATACAAGTCAAGTTAAAGTTCTTGGGAAAATAGGAATTTGAAAAGCTCTGCCTCATGCAAAAGACAATTATATTTAGTTTTTTTGGTTAGTCCACATTATAGTTGTATGCTTTTATCATTTAAGATTCCTCAGACAGATATTGGTACTTCTCAACCAACGGATTGCATGGCTTGGGACAGGCAGAAATTATTATTCTGTTGTTATGTTTGCCAAATGAAGATACTATTCCTAAGGACATCTTCAGACTGTTTATCACCATATATAAGGATGCTGTAAAAGGTACAGCATTTTATTTTGAATTTTTCAGCTAGGGGACAGCTATATTAATTAAGGTGTTTATACTTTCAGCTCTAAGTATCATACTAAAGATTTATTTTGTGATGAGATTATTGATTTCTTAAAAGATGTAGTCATCGTTTTTAGTCTCTTTAAAGCTAGTATTTCATGTAATTTGTGTCTTTACTCAGGGTTTTTTTTTTTTTTTTTAATTAAAAAAAGTGAATATATTTTCTTCTTGACTTTTTTCCTAACATGTCTACATTCTTTTCTTACCATCTATAAAAGATTGGAGGGATATGACAATTTTTCACTTAACTGTGCAGTAAGAAGAAAAATTTAAAAACACCTGTGGTTGGAAACATTTTTAAATTTTTGTTCACTGTCCTCATTCTTAAGAATAACTGAGCTGTGTGCACAGAAGGTATTTAATAGGTGCTTTATCAAGAGTAGAAATAAGAAACATAATATACCACATTGCTTTTTTCTTAGGAAAGTTTATAATGGGACATTTAAACTCAGTATTTCTCTTCAAAACAACTTAAGGCCTTTTTTATTAATGATTTTATTTCCAGGAAAATACATAGAAAATTTGAACAATATTACCTTTACTGAGAGTTTTCTCAACAGCAAGGATCATGGAGGATTCCTGTTTATTACACCTACTTTTCAGAAACTTGATGATCTGCCATTACCAAGTAATCCTTTTCTTTGTGGAATTCTTATCCAGAAGCTAGAGATTCCTTGGGCAAAGGTTTTTCCTATGCGTTTAATGTTAAGACTGGGTGCAGAATATAAAGGTAAGTTTTATAATAATAAGGTATGTAGGCTAAATTTGTTGAATGTAAAGTAAGATTTTCAGGGATCATTAGAATCAGTTTTTGATGGATTAATGGCACTACTTTTATTTCATTGTACTTAAAAATTCCAAAACAACTTCCCTCTACTACCAAATTAGTCTAGACAACTTTGGAATAGCAAGAAGGGTCTAGATGCTCATAATTATATTAACTTATCATAAATTTTTTTTTAAATTTTAGAACAAAATACAGAAAATCCTGAAAAGTTTTCATATAATTGTGTACTATAGGGGGTTCATTTTGTTATATTGCCTATTATTAGAAAGGCAAATTAGGCAAATTATTGTCTCTTCTCAATCTATGTATGTTATAGAAGCAAACATGAGGATTTTTGGATTATCACGTGAAATTGCTTTCATTTACTAACTATAATCATCAAGATTTTAGTATTTTTAGGAAGAGAAATAATTTGATAGCATCTTTGATAAGCTTGAAGTTTTTTTTCCTAGTTTTCTGTTCCTGACATTTAGTTCATCATCCAAAAGTGATGTATGCTATCATTTGTGTATTTGTATATATGTGTTTTTGTTTGTGTATATTTACATAGTGTATATTTACTATGACTATTTACATAGTCATAGTGACACAGCTAGATATACTAAAGTTGTGACATGACCCAGGTTAATGTTTGTTATTCTTTCTAAGTTGAAGTCATTTGTATTATTAACCTTTTTTGAATTCTCACACTTTATTCCTGACTTTTTTCAGGAAGTAATTTATTGCATTTATTGAGGTACAGCACATCTAATAAAATTTGATTCATTTGATTTTAATATAATAGTTTCTTAGAGGAAAATTAAATGTAGGGAAGTTATAGAAGTGACTGTTATTGTGAACAAATTAAGTGAAAGAGATAATTTCATTTAAATATCTCTATTTGGCAACTTTTATTATTAAACCCTGGTGAGGTTGGTGGGTACTCACCATTGGGACCTAACTATGCAATGCTATTAAATTTTGCAAAAGGTAACCTAAGAAATTTCATTTTGAGTCAGTATTTCATCCCTTCAGCTTAATATTCAAATGCTATTTGTATGGTAGTTTAGGTGAATATACTAGCTAATCTTAAGTTATCATAGAGCATGTGGTCTGTAAATTTGGCCAGTAGCACTGTGGAGACCAAGGCTGTTTTTCTCTCAAGATCACAGGGGTTGGAACTACACAGCTATCCTAATTATTTAGTGGTAATGAGGGCAAATCACCTGTGATAGTTAGAAATTAACTAGTTTGAGCTGTTTTCTAAGTTCTTTATGTTTAATGGATTTTAGACTAGCAGTTTGATGTTACAGGTGCTCATGCCTCTTTATACATAAACTTGAAAATGTAATATGTGTGTATACTTTGTTACAGAGATAATTTACACTGGGCAAAAGTAGAATCCCACGGTTAAATCCTGAAATAACTGTCTGAAATTAGTAACTTTAAATGGGGATTATCTACCCTTTTATGTTTTTATCATTTGTCTCATTAGAAACAACACATCATTATATTAGAATATCACTGAATGTTGGTTTGTGAGGTCCCTTTGTAATTCTGACAGAATGTCATTCTAACCCATTACCTTTTTTTTTTTTTTAATATTTATTTATTTATTTATTTATTTATTTATTTATACAAGCACTGGGTACAGTCAGAAGCGCGGGAGGATGAGAGAGTTCACCAGAGCCAGAGTGGGGAGCAGAGCAGGCAGAAGGACCGAAGTACACTGCTGAGGGGAGCAGCGGGCGGCAGGAGAGGTCTGCACACCATGTGGGACCCTCCTCCGGTGGCCGGGGAGCAGCCGGGGATCGAACCAGCGCTGCAGAGGCTGCGGGCAGCTTCGCAACCCAGCGCTCAACCGCTGCGCCACCGGGGAGGCCCCTAACCCATTACCTTTAAAAAGTGTTTTTAAATAAAATTATCAGGTTGCAAATGATGCTCCCTCATTCATAAATTGATGAAGTAAAAAACATTAGCATTTACCTTAATCATATCCTTCATCATTTTAATATCTTTTAACACTAGTGTCTTAATAAAGTATTCCCATTCTGTGCCCTCTCTTCTCCAAATAACTTAGTTTCCTTTTTTTTTAAACTGCAAAATATGTGTGTAATAACAAAGATGTGAGTTACTTTCACTTAAGTTCTTAAAATAGATAACTTCAAGTGTTTTCTTAGAATTTTTAGGAAGTATAGTTGTATAACAGGTATTAGAGAGTTTTGTTTGCATGTGATCTAAAATGATAACTGAACGTTTAAAAATGTAATCTTATCATAGGAATGGTCTTACCTCCTTTTTCTTTCAGAGACTCTGCTGCATTGTCAGTAGGGTATCTTTTCCCTGTTTGTACACAATATTTATAGTACCCTAGAAAAAGAGTAGTTTGCCAAATGACACAGAAATATTAATTCCAAAGGGCACCTGTGCCCCTATGTTTATAGCAGCACTATTTACAATAGCTAAGTTATGGAAACAACCCAAATGCCCAAAAATAGATGACTGGATCAAGAAGATGTGGTACATATACACAATGGAATATTACTCAGCAATCAAAAAAGATAAACACATGCAATTTGCAGCAACATGGATGGAGCTAGAAGGGATCATGCTCAGGGAAATAAGTCAGAAAGAAAAAGAAAAGTACCGGATGGTCTCACTGAGCAGGAATTTAGAAAACCTAAATAAGGGACCAAAATACAAAATACTTTGTATTTTAATACAAAGTAAAAATCAGAATCAACAAGCAGCTGTAAACTAGAGACACACTATGGCAGGGGGAGGGAGCAGGGAGAGGAAGGATTAGGGTCATAATAAGGGAGGGTGCAATTGTATGGGGAATATAACAAAAATGAAAATGCATACATTGTGCAAAAATGATATAAGAATTATATAAAATAAAATAATTTTTTAAAAAATAAAGAGTAGTTTGGTGACAGGTTGATTCTATGTTGTTTCTCTGCTTTGATGTCTTTGACTCCCAATACTTCTTTTAATCATATTAACTTAAACACTGTAAGTTTTCTACTACTCATAAACTAGCACAATTGAACATTCATTACTAATGCCTTAGAAATCTAAGTCTTCATGCTTCTCTTTTTTTTAAAAAAAAAGATTTATTTATTTATACAAGCACTGGGGTACAGGCCAGAGGCGTGGGAGGGTGAGAGAATTCATCAGAGACAGAGCAGGGAGCAGAACAGGCAGAAGGACGGAAGTGCACTGCTGAAGGGAGCAACAGGTGAGACAGGAGAGGTCTGCCGCCCATTTGGGAATCTCCCTGGCTGGCAGGGGATCAAACCCATGGTGGGGAAGCTGTGGACAGCTTCACAGTGCTGTGCTCAACCCGCTGTGCCACTGGGGAGGCCCCATGCTTTTCTTTTAACTGACATAATTTTATAAAGGGGTTTAGCTAATCACTGTTATTTTCCTGCTGTCAGAATTTTGTGGAAATACATATAATGAAGAGATTAAATGCTTTAGAATCAGAGAAGTCCAGTTTCAAATCTGTTTCACTAGGATTAACTTAATCACTACAAGCAAGTTTATTGTGTTTCTACTTTCCCATTTGTAAAGTAGGCATAGACATAAAAGTAGGCATAGACTTAAAAATGGGGTTTAAATAAAATAGTGTATGTAAAGTTTGCAGTTTAGTGTAGCATCTAGTAGATGCACTATATTATTCTCATTTCTCAGTTTCTCCAAAGTACTGGCTGGGTGGTATATATCCATAATGTTTGAAAACTGAGAATTAAAGATAATTAATTAAAATATATATATTTTTTGTTGTTGTTGACAGTAATCCATTTTCTTTTCTTATATATATAGCATATCCTGCTCCTTTAACAAGTGTCAGAGGCCGAAAACCCCTTTTTGGAGAAATAGGACACACTATTATGAACTTACTTGTTGTGAGTAATTGGATTATTTTATTGCGTGTTCTTATATTGTTACTGCTTTTTAGTGTTTTGCAAGGACCAGTTTCAACCAGGGTTTATTGAGGTAGGGGTCTCTGAAAATTCACCTCAATTTTGACATCTAACCAGATTCTGCAGGTTATGGGCTCAGTCTCCCAATACTGCCCTTCACTTTAAGCCCCAGGTGTTTGCCTGTGCTTCTGTCCAGGTAGCTAGAGACCTAATGTTCCAGTAATCTCCTCCTCACACTTCAGGTGCCAGTTGCAAGCACAGATTATTATTTGTGCTTTTCTGACTGGCTATAAATCAGAGATTCCCAGGACACTCGTCTCAAGTTGCATTAATTTACTAGAATCATAAACAACATTCAGGAAGCCCATTTACTGACCAGGTCATTGATTTATTACAAAGGATACTACAAATCAACAGCCAGATGGAATAGGGCAAGGTATGGAGAAGAAGCTGGGAGCTCCCATACCTTCTCCAGGCATAACATTCTTCCCAAATCTCCATTTGTTGGCGAACTGGGTAGCTCTCCATAGTCCCTCTTTTTTTTTTTTTTTTTAAAGATTTATTTTTTTATGCATATAAGAGCTGGGATACAGGCCAGAGATTGGCGGGGGGGGGGGTGGAGGAGTGTGTGAGAGAGGATTCATCAGAGACAGAGTGGGGAACAGAACAGGCAGATTGACCGAAATACACTGCTGAGGGGAGCAACAGGCGAGAGAGGAGAGGTCTGCTGCGCCATGTGGGTTTCTCCCTGGCCGGCTGGGGATTGAACTCGTGCTGCAGAGGCTGTGGATTGCTTCATAGTGCGGTGCTTAACCCCTTGAGCCACCAGGGAGGCCCCATAGTCCCTCTTTTTGGGCTTTAGGAATACTTCATTAGGTAGGCATGATTGATTAACTCATTGGCTATTGGCAATTGAACTCAATCTCCAGCCCCTCCCCTTAGAGCTGGTATGGGTCAGGGGAGGATTGGAAGTTCCAATCTTTATTCAAGTTATTTTCAAGTTACTTTCCCTGGTAACCAACCCTTGACTTCGGGAGTTTCCCAAAAGTTACCTTCATTAGCATAACAATAAGTACCTTTTTATCAACCACAGCACTTAAGAAATTCTAACACTTTGGGAACTTTGAGCCTGGTACTGTGGATGAAAGCCAAATATGTATGAGAAATAGATACTTTGGCCATCTAAATTACCAAACTACATTATTTTATCTAAATCACAGTATTACAGTTATTTTTTAAATTTTTTATAGCAAATTTTATGCATTTGTATTTTTGTTTTAATTTAGTAATTCATATTAATGAGCTGTTTTGCTGAATTTCTTTTTAGAACATCGTATCATACTTTATGTGTTCTTGATTTTAATTGTTTTTAATTCTGCAGTTCTTATACTTTTAGTTAATATGAGATCTGCACAATTGGTGGAGCTTTGGAAATTTTAGTAGAAGCACCCCAAAGTCATTCAGATGGTAATTTTTGACAAATTGAACCTAAATTTCCTCATTTATAATAGGAATGATTAGATTAGATGATTTATCAGGTTCCCTTTCACCTCCAATTTCTGTATTTTTGTCTTTACCTGTTACCACAGAAACTTACTTCAATGGACTCACTATTAATTTTACTCATGTTTGTTTCAAGACCTTGTCTGTTTTGGACAAGCTATAGCTAAAAAGAGAATGCCCCCAAATACTGCAGCGTTCTTCCTAAGAATGATTTTCCTCTCAACGTGAAATAGCTGGAAGGATTAGTTAGTTTATTAAGTTCGTTCTACTTTCTCAATGGCATTTTGATAGTTATATATCAGAAGTCTTAAAATGTTGAATATTCTTAAAGATATAACAAATGTTCATGGATAGTAATATAAGGTTTTTGGAAATGTCATTTTTATGTAGGACCTTAGAAATTACCAGTATACCTTGCATAATATAGATCAACTGTTGATTCATATGGAAATGGGGAAAAGCTGCATAAAAATACCTCGGAAAAAATACAATGATGTAAGTCTAATTGCTTTATTCAACTTTTTAAGATGTTTATTAAACATTAGATTTCCTTAGCAGATGTCAGATTAAATCTGTTTCATTTATTTTGAATCAGACATCTAGATAGCAAAATACACTATTTTTGAAATTTTAAATGTTTCCTAGCAAGTGATTAATTTAATCCTATTCTTTTTTCTTTACTATCTTTTCTATTAACTGAGATAATTTTGTCTTAAAATAATTGGTTTCTGTCACATTCTCGGGGATAATTATGAAGCTGTTCAGAAATATGACTGAATTATTGTAACTAATAAAAGCATAAAATGTTAGAAGTGTTTCTAAATGACTGTTGTTTTTTTCCCAGGTAATGAAAGTAATAAATTCTTCTAATGAACATGTCATTAGCATTGGGGCTAGTTTTAGCACAGAAGCAGATTCTCATCTAGTCTGTGTACAGAATGATGGAGGTTATCAAACACAGGCCAACAGCGCCACTGGCCATCCTAGAAAAGGTGAGTTTTTGGTGTTGATCCATAAAGCTGACTCACTAAATAGAATTCTCAAAAGGGAAACACACACACACACTCACCTCATTTGCTAAATTGATGGTGATAAAAAACAATGCTTTAGATTTACAGCTATATAAACATTAAAAAATTGCTTCTTAATTTGTTTTTCTCTTGGACTACCTTAGGTTTTAAGACCTAGAACACTGTATGCAATTTGATATTTTCAGGCCTACTTTATCCCATGTAATGGGAGTCTTATTTTCACTAATTTCCCTCTGGGATGAGGTGTTTTTTTACCTTTGCTTCAGTTCCTCATAGGGGGCCACAGGATGGGTAAGGATGAAGAATGATTTATAAAACTGTGACTAGGGGTGGAGTGAGTAGCACATATAAATGATAATACTCTAAGTTTTTGCTAAATTACCTGAATGACTACTGTGATTACAAATCTTTGCAATAGAAGGCCTAATAAATTTAAAGTTAAGTGGGAGAGTTAATAAAATTAACACATCATTATAAAATATAATCTATTTTAAATAGTCTGACATTCTGGCCACTAACTTTTTTCCCTCTGATTATAAAAGTAATATATATTCATATATATTCATTTTTAATAAACTTGGAAAATAGGTTTTCAAAAGTAGTGAAAAGAGAAAAGTGCCAAGATGTGGCCGCTGTTGACATCTTATATTAATATGTTAACTAGATGGGTTTATACTAGATCTTTATGCATTTGTGTTGCTTTTTACTTATTAATGTCATTGACATTTTTGTCATTAAAATTTAACTATTTAGTATTTATTTTTGAATATATATTTATGTAGTGTAAAATTCAAGATGTAGTGCAAAATCTCTTCCTCCCTTCACTCCCAAGCTTCTCTCTCCCTCTTCACAGACAACCAAACCATTGTTACCACTTTCCTGCATATCCTTTCAGAGACATTTGTGTGTGTGTGTGTGTACAATTAAGTAAACACATAAACATCCATCTTCTTTCTTTAGTTTTTTAAAACCAATCATAACATTTGTTTCATTCTATACCTTGCCTTTTCTTTTGTTAACATACCTTATAGATTATTCTATGTTAGTTTATTTAAAAAGTTTTACATTCCATATAACTTTGTACTTTACATGTGTACATTGTTTAATTTTTCCTTATTAATGGACATTGTTGCTAACAAACTGTGGCTATTGATAAAAAATAACTTTGAACACATGCCATCAGTTCCAGTAAGTGGTGTGGTGCATCAAAATATATATGTATTTGTAATTTTAATGTATAATTATCAAGTTCTCCTTAGAGAGTGTTCTGATTTAAGCTTTCACCAGTAGTGGATATTTGATTTCCCACACCCTTACTAACACAGACACAGGTATTTAAAGTAGTACAATAGCCCATTGATTATTAATATAAACATTTGAGATACATTTTTGCAATTCTTTGATTTGTTTTTGAATAAGTTCTCTACTGTAAGTGGTGTGGGTGTAGCAGTTATCCAGGACTTTAAAATGTGCCATCATTTACCTTATACATTTAATAAATATTATATAACAAATAGAAATCAGGTTAAAACATAAATAATTGTTGTGTTTTTTTAAATCAGTGACAGGTGCAAGTTTTGTAGTATTCAATGGTGCTCTAAAGACTTCTTCAGGATTTCTTGCTAAGTCTAGCATAGTTGAAGGTAAGAGTTGCATCTATAAGATTATTTTAATGTTAAGATGTTTTTCACTTCCTTTTAAAAAAGTATTTGATACTGGGCCTCCCTGGTGGCGCAAGGGGTTAAGCACCGCACTGAGAAGCAATCCGCAGCCTCTGCAGCATGAGTTCGATCCCTGACTGGCCAGGGAGCAACCCACATGGCGCAGCGGACCTCTCCTGACTGGCCCGCTGCTTCCTTCAGCAGTGTACTTCGGTCTGTCTGCCTGTTCTGTTCCCTACTCTGTCTCTGGTGAATCCTCTCACCCCCTGCATCTCTGGCCTGTACTCCACCTCTTGTATGCATAAATAAATAAATCTTTAAAAAAATGTATTTGAAACTCATAAAAGAGTATATGTAAGTTATAAAGTCTAGAACTGTAAACTTAAGTGACATCACCACCCAGCCCAGGATGTAGAACATGACTAATATTTGGGTCTATATATGCTGTTATTGCCAGCAACTGTAGTCATTTTCATTGCTATTAAGTATTTTCTTTTGTGAATGTATAATTTATCCATCTTTTGGTTATGGCCAGCTAGATTGTTTCCTATTTTTTGCTCTTGGGAAAAGTGGTGCTAATAATTTACTTACTGGTATGTGTGGACCCTGAGCATATGTCTGAGATTTTCTCTAGAGTATGTACATGGAGTGGAATTTCTTGGTCAGTAGATTAGTAAATGTACAACTTTACAAGATATTGCCAAGTTGTTTGGTTTGTACCCATTTATTAACATTACCATCAGAATATATAAAATTTCCCATTAATCTACATCTTCTCCAAATGTAGTATTAGATTGCTTAAATTGTATCAGTTTGGTAGGTAACTCTGAATATGTCAGTATTATCATGCCATGATAAGTAGAGCATTTTTTGTGACATATATCTTGGACAAATATATTGCCTTTTCTATGAAATGCATATTTACACATCTTTTGCCCATTTTTCTGTTGTTTTATCTTTTTCTTGTTTATAGTTAGCTTTACATACTGTAGATTTTCCCCATTTTATCATGTCTTTTTTTTTAAAGATTTATTTTTATTTATTTATGCATATAAGAACTGGGGTATAGGCCAGAGGTGTGGGGGGTAAGAGGTTTCACCAGAGACAGAGTGGGGAGTAGAACAGTTGGATCTGCTGAAATACATTGCTGAGGGGAGCAGCAGGCAAGACAAGAGAGGTCTGCTGCGCCATGTGGGTGAGCTTCCTGGCCCAGTATCAAACTCATGCTGCAGTGGCTGGTGATAGCTTGATAGTCCTGAGACTTTAACCCCTGCGCCACCAGAAAGTCCCCTTATCATGTCTTTCTAATGGAAGGTCTTTATTTTAATGTAATTTATTGATATTTTATTTAAAAACCTTTCCTGTGGCTCAATAGCTATTCTCCGGTTGTCCCTAAAATTTTAGAACTTAGCCTTTAGCACTGAAGTCCTTGACTTACCTGGAAATATTTTTAGGTATTGTGTACAGTAAGGGTCCAGTGACATTTTTCTGTATTTGAATAGGAATTAATCCAGGCCAATAGGAGAGATTTTTTTTTACTCACATCACTTTGGACATCAGATGTATGGATTTTTTCCTATTTACCAAACAGTTCTCCAGTGCTCTGACACCAACTGGGTGTCCAAAAATTCAATACAGTGTTGACATTAATTTCCCATATTTTACACATACCCCACAGGTTAAGGGCTCAGTCCCATAAGATTGCCCTTCATGTCAGGTGACAGTCAAGTCTGGGACCTCTCATTCTGATCAACTGGCTATAAATCAGGGGTTTCCACCACCTCTTCTTCAAGTATAATAATGTGCTAGAATGGCTCACAGAACTCAGAAAACATTTTACTTTTTTTTTTTTTTTTAAACTTTTATTATAAAGGAACCACTGTATATGTCAAGGCATAGGAGAGAATCATGCAGATTACGTGCCGTCTCTGGGCCTACCACTCTTCTAGCACCAATGAGGATGCTTCCTGAACTTCAGTGATTGGGAGTTTGATTACATAGGCATGATTAATTAAATCATTGGCCATTGTTGGTTGACCTTAACTTCTAGTTTCTTTCCCCTTGCCAGGTGTCCAAGTTGGGAGGTGTGAAGGGTAAGGGGATGGAAGTTCAGACTTCTCTGTTAGGCCTTACTCTCACCCTATTAATGTGAACCCAGTTCTAGTCCAAGAATTCAAAAGGACATTAATACATACAATCTTCTGGTGTCCCATTAATCTTGACACTAGATTCCAGGTTTGCCCAAACTATTGTCATTGACCCCTCAGTCCAGAAGAGCTTGTATAGGCTTAATGGGTCAGTATCAGTTATCTAAACTAGAAAGCATAGACAATTGTGGGCTCAGCTGTTGAGTTTTCCTTTAGGGATCCTGGTATTGCAGTTCTTGGTAGTGTCCAAAGCAACTATCTTATATATTTTGAATAGCTTTATGGTTGGTTGGTATAACAGGGCTAGTTTGGAATTAATTACCTCATCATAGTCAGAAGTAGAAGTTTTCACCTTTATTTTCTTAAACAGTTAAAATCTGTTAAAGAAATTAAGTTCTTAACCTTGTGAATTTTTTCTTATTTTCTAGTAGTAAACAACCATTGGGATGATTTAACAGATGATTTAAAACATGTATCTTGTTTTGTTGTTTTTTTTTAAGATTTATTTATGCACACAAGAGCTGGGGTACAGGCCAGAAGTGGGGGGCGGGGGGCGGTGAGAGGATTCATCAGAGACAGAGTGGGGAACAGAACAGGCAGCTCGACCGAAGTACGCTGCTGAGGGGAGTAGCAGGTGAGTCAGGAGAGGTCTGCTGTGCCATGTGGGTTGCTCCCTGGCTGGCCTGGGATCGAACTCCTGCTGCAGAGGCTGCGGACAGCTTCACAGGCTGTGTCTTAACCCCTTGCGCCACCAGGGAGGCCTCAAAACATGAATGTTTGTAACATGAGGTGCTTTTCATAATGGATATATAGGTTCATTTTGATAACAGATTTTATGGCTTAGAGATACAAATTGATACTTAGTAAAATAAACGTGAAAAACTCTTCTTTTCAGATGGCTTAATGGTACAAATAACTCCTGAGACCATGGATGGCTTGCGGCTAGCTCTGCGAGAACAAAAAGACTTTAAAATTACATGTGGAAAAGTGGATGCTGTAGACCTCAGAGAATATGTGGATATATGCTGGGTAGATTCTGAAGAAAAAGGAAACAAAGGGTAGGAATTTTTTGTTACTGAAATATAATTGGGATGGCTATGGGAGGGGGTAAAAATATCCTGTTAATAAAATTAATATTTATGAATAAATGTAGAACTACACCATTAACTTAAATGTCTATATTCCAGTTAATGAATACAGTCTGTTTTTTCAGACATTTTCCTATATAGCTTCATGTGTATTTTTCCGGCCAGGATCCTAAATTATTAAATGGTGGTCATTTGGGGAGGGGGCCAATGATAAAATATCCTTTGTGTAGAAGTATGGGCTGGATGTAAAGCTGAGAAAGGCAAGACACTTTCTGTCATTTGGTACCTATTTTTGTCAGGTAAGATTTCCGTTGGGTGTTTATTCTGTATTGTATTGATTCACTAGAAATACAAGCAACCGATTTAATATTACATACATTAGAGGACTTACAGAATATTACTGCCACTCCTTCCTCTTTTCAGTTACCCATTTTTTTTTTTTTCTTTTTTGGAGATTGGCTAAGGGGTCTGGAGCAGAGAAGGAAGAAGAGGGCTAATGCTGAAGGATTCCAAAATAGAATTTTTGAAATTCATGAGACAGCTTTTCTGTTAGGAGACTATTTAAGGTATTTTAAACCTCAGGTCTAAATTGGGCATATGAGAAAAATAGATATAATTTGCTACACAATCAAGAAATCTTGGCAAATGAATATAGTTTTAATTGTTTTGAATGTAATTGAGTTCTCTTACTGCTGCTTTTAATTTATAACTTCATAATTTTTCTCCTTACTCAATTTATTCATTTAATAATTCACTTCATAGATTTGGTACTAATAATTCTACTGTATTGTGTTTTATTCTATAGTGTTATTAGTTCGGTGGATGGAATATCATTGCAAGGATTTCCAAGTGAAAAAATGAAACTGGAAGCAGATTTTGAAAATGATGAAAAGATTGTAAAATGTACTGAGGTAATTGAGAAAGATTTCTTCCCTTTACATGCTATGTCTGGATATGGGTGTTTTTTTTTTTTTTTTAATTTGGAGATTTCATAGTATTCAACCTCAGAATGTTTAATACACAGATGTTTTTTACACTTTTTCCACTGTACCTTCAACACATTTCTGTACCAATCTGCCTTTCATACACTGGATTTGGATTTCCATAGGCTGATTTCAAGCCACTGTGTTGTGGTCCTGCCTGATAGCCGATAGTTAAGTTTTGGCAGCTGCCATCTTTGTACACTAGTAGGCTGTTTGACTATATTATTTTCATTTGTCTCCTATTTAAAAAAAATAAAATATTGACATCAGTTTATAATCTGAGGTGAGAAAGTTACTTCTACAAGTTCCTTTTTTTTAACACATATATATATAAGTTGATATGTAACTATAGATTGGTAGATTCCCGACCTCCTGGTTCACCTCCATACTCCCTCTCATTGTTCCTCCTGGACAGCAGTAAATATTATCTGTTTTTAATGTATTTTTTATGATTTTTTTGCATATAAGATAGAAACCGTATAGGATATAGAAATTGTAGAACATTATTTCTTTGCTCGAGCTTAACTTTTTAAAGGATGGTGATCTTATAGGGTGGACAAATTGTTATCTTCTAAACTGAGCTAACTAGACTTTCATTGATATAGGTTAGGTTAATTTTAGGCAAAAAATTGGCTGTCTGCCATGTTCCGTAGCCTTTGGTTTAAAATTTTTAACTTATAGCATAAAGCAAGCTATATATGCTCTTAACTAGTGAATTTCATGGCAGAAACACTGAATTTTATTGATAAAGTTGAAAGCTGTTACCATATTTTTAAAGCTACTTTAAATTTAAATTTTGCCTTGTTTCCTAATTAAATACATTTCAGGTGTTCTACTTTCTAAAGGACCAAGATTTATCTGTTTCAGCAACTCCTTATCAGTTCGCAAAAGAAATAGCCATGGCTTGTAGTGCTGCACTGTGCCCTCACCTGAAAACTCTAAAGAATAATGGAATGAATAAAATTGGCCTCAGAGTTTCCATTGATACTGATATGGTGAGCCATATTTTTGTGGTTTGTTTTTGAAATGAATATTATGTTAAAATACTGAAAATGTTTTCTCTAACCTTTTATTTTCAGATGAATGAAGAGAACAGAAATTTGTTGCCTATTAATGTGTACTACACACTACATATATATTATTTCATTTAATTTCCTCAATAGGGGTCAGCAAACTTTTGTGGTAAAAGGCTAGACAGAAACTATATTAAGCTTTGTGGGCTAAATGATATTTTTTTAAGATTTATTTATTTATGCATACAAGAGCTAGGGTACAGGCCAGAGATGCAGAGGGGTGAGAGGATTCACCAGAGACAGAGTGGGGAACAGAACAGGCAGATTGTCCGAAGTACACTGCTGAGGGGAACAACGGGTGAGTCAGGAGATGTCTGCTGCCCCATGTGGGTTGCTCCTGGCGGGCCAGAGGATCAAACTCGTGCTGCACTGGCTGCAGACAGCTTCATAGGTTGCATCTTAATCCCTTATGTCACCAGGGAGGCCCTAAATGATTTTTTTTATTTTTTTAAAAACTGTTCAACTCAAAAGCAGCCATCGATAACATAAACTGTAAATTAATAAACTCATCTGAGTTCCAGTGAATCTTTGTTTACAGAAATAATTGGTGGGCCACATAGGCCCACAGGCCATAGTGTTCTGACCCTTGCCCCACAACAATCTGTTCGATAAGTAGGTTTTAAAATTTATTTACTCTTGATTAGATTCTATATTCGTGTGATTTAAAAGTACCAAAGATCATATATATATATAAAAGACAAGACTTGTTCTCTGGACATATTCAGAGAGCAGTTTTCATTTTCATCTGTATAATTGGTGGCCCTGGAGATACTAACTCCAGGCTAGAATGTAAATGGTTCCCCATAGACTAGCCATGGCTTGTAGTGCTGCACTGTGTATAAAGTAACAGCCCTAGAAAGATCTCCTTTTTACCCTTGATTTCCAATTCTACAGTCTATCTCCATACTCACCCCTCATCTTCCTTTCCTGGTCAGGCAGTCATGTTTTTATATATTCTTTGTGGCTTTAGGCATGTGTAAAACAAATAATGTGTATGTCGTTTTCCCCTTCCTTTACATTTTGCCATGTTTTTTAAAGATACCTTATTAAGATAGTATACATTTGTATTCTTTTTTACTGTTGCATAGGAATAATTGTGTACATAAATATACCATAATTTATTTAACTAGTCTTATGTGTATTTGGTATGTATTGATTGGCATCCAGCTGTTTAGGTTGTCCAAAGTGTTTTGCTTTTGGATGTGAGGGCGATCTGGCTGCGACATCTGTCACCCCATTGATCGCCAGGGTTGATTCGGCTGATCTGGCTGGCTAGGCGGGTGTCCCCTTCCTCCCTCACCGCTCCATGTGCGTCCCTCCCGAAGCTGCGCGCTGGGTCGAAGAGGGCTGCCTTCCCCGAATAGAGACGGACCGGTCTTCAGTTCAGGGTATATGAGTAGCTGCGCTCCCTGCTAGAACCTCCAAAGTGTTTTGCTTTTGCCTAAATATGAGTTTACAAAAAGTATGTCCTGGGAGAGAATTGCCAGGTCCACATATGTATTCAATAGATATTCTATTGTCTCAGAGATTTATTTTTATCACATTTTGTGAAAGAGTTTTCCCCCACATTCCATCAGAATGGTATGTGATCAAACTTTTTAAAAAAGATTTATTTATTTATACATACATGAACTGGGGTACAGACCAGAGTTGTGAGGGGTGAGAGGATTCATCAGAGACAGAGTGGGGAACAGAACAGGCAGACTGACTGAAATACACTGCTGAGGGGAGCAGTGGGTGAGTCAGGGAGAGGTCTGCTGCTCTATGTGGGCAGCTCCCTGGCCTGGAATTGAACTTGTGCTGCAGTGGCTGCAGCGAGCTTCATAAGGTTTCGTCTTAACTTGGAACTTTGCCAATTTGACTGGTGAAAATGGTACTCCAACATTATTTTAATGTGTACTTTTCTTATAGCAAGTGATGATCATTTTACATCTAAGAACCATTTGTTTTTCTTTGAACTTTCAATTCATAGCTGATAGTTTTATATATTTTGTAATTGTTTATACATCCAGTATAATAGACTTCAAAGCAATTCTTCGTAAGAATGGTTAAATGGGGCCTCCCCGGTGGCGCAGCGGTTGAGCGCTGGGTTGCGAAGCTGCCCGCAGCCTCTGCAGCGCTGGTTCAATCCCCGGCTGCTCCCCGGCCACCGGAGGAGGGTCCCGCATGGCGCGCAGACCTCTCGTGCCGCCCGCTCCTCCCCTCAGCAGTGTACTTCGTCAGTCTGCCTGCTCTACTCTCCGCTCTGACTCTGGTGAATTCTCTCACCCTCCTGTGCTTCTGACTGTACCCAATGCTTGTATAAAATAAAAATAAATAAATCTTAAAAAAAAAAAAAAGAATGGTTAAATGTAAGTGAGTGCATGTGCTGGAAGTTTGTTTTTCTCCAGCCAGTACGTGTTATATTGCAACCCCCCCATTCTGACCCCAATCCCTCCCCTCCCACCCCCCCACCCCCCAAAAAATGTCTCTGGTTCATAGTTTTTTGTTGATTTTGATTTTCACTTTCTTATAGTTATTCATTTTCCTGGTCCCTTATTTAAATTTTCTAGATTCCTGCTATGAGTGAGACTATCCGGTATTTTTCTTTTTCTTTCTGGCTTATTTCGCTGAGCATGATCCCTTCCAGCGCCATCCATGTTGCTGCAAATTGCATGTGTTTTGGATAACACAGTTCTTGTTGGATAGAAGAACTTACATTTTCATCTCATTTAAAAAAACTTCTTTTCCAAGGAACCATCTATCATTTGTTATTTAAGAAAACACTGTTAATATCTTTCAGTCAAATGTGTTAAAAATAGAATTTTCACCAGCAACATTAACTTTAAATATTAAGTATTACAAAAACTATTTCAAACTTTTTAAATAGATTTGTCTTAGTACCATGTGTGTACTTGGGAGAAATATCAGGGTGAGGCCAGAGGTGCAGGGGTGAAAGAATTCACCAGAGATGGAATGCGTCAAAGAAAAGGTGGATTTATTGAAATAAAGTGCTAAGAGAAACAGTAGGTGAGGCAAAGTCTGCTTACAAAGGAAAACTTGAGGCTTTCTTTCATACTTTGTTTTTATGGGCTTTCTTATTTGAGGTGCCAGTGTGTATCAGTTATCTGCTGGGATGTCTGGTCTTGGGGCCCCACCCTTTGACACAGAAACATGTCCTTGCCTCTGCTACTGCATTTCTAAAGCTGAGCTGGTTTTTCTGGTCATGGTGGTCTGTCTTACGGTTTTGTCCCCAAGGCAACCTTAAATTCTCTTATCTAGTCAAGCTCTCCACCTGCCCCCCCCAAAAAAAAAAACTGCCTGCTGGGCCAGGAGGGGGGACTTAGTTTTTAACCTTATTAAATTGTACCCGGACAAAGGGTTTTTATTTAAGTCATATTGGTAATTATTCAAAACTTCTCCCCTCCAGTGGTTTCCATGTTCATTGAGAGGAACCTAAGCTAGGAATTAGTGGCAATTTTCAATTTTTATATTTGTAAGAGAGAGAATTATTTTATAGTAGATGGATAGAAGAAATATAGAATGGAAAATGTTTTATTAAAAAAAATCAAGATTTTCTTAATATGCCTAAACTGAATGTTTTTTAATAGTTTATATTTATCTGCTGAACTAAACGAGATTACTCACTTTTAAGATTGGCTTAACAAGATTTTTTTTTTTTTTTTTTTTTTTTGGCAGGTTGAATTTCAGGCAGGATCTGAAGGCCAACTTCTGCCTCAGCATTATCTAAATGATCTTGATAATGCTCTAATTCCTGTGATCCATGGTGGGACCTCCAACTCTACTAATTTACCACTAGAAATAGAATTAGTATTTTTCATTATAGAAAATCTTTTTTAGTGAAAGGACATGAGTTATATATTGCAAACTAATTTGTTAAAACTAACCCCAGCACTAAAGCTGAAATGCCACAAACACTAAAAGTAAGTATGTTTAATGTCCAAAACACCTTAAGCTTTGCTTTTTAGGTAAGAATGTTTTTTTATTTTAGTTACTAACAATATTCAAATCTCTAAAAATTTAAGATATTTACAGTTTTTGAAGCTTTATACTTCAAAAATTCTAAAAAGATAAATTCCTCAGTAAGAAACTTGTAGCATTTACTGTGTTATTTAAATGCTAAGCCAAAGTATCTGCATTTTAGGTATACCTCTTTATTCCAAGAATGATTTTAATGAAGGCTCTTTTCAGATGTAATCTTATGCAGGAAATATTTGCTTTATGTTAAATTGTTTTTTAGTGGCACAGACCTGTTTCCAAATCTTGAACTTACATGATTTTTTGAATAAGGCAGATAACTTACTTGTATAATTGGAGTGGAGATCTACCTCCATGATTAGATAAACACTGATTGTTTGAATTAAAATCAGAATTTTGCCTTTTTCTCCTCAAATTATTATTATATGATTTTCTTGATTAAATGGGTATTCTTAAAATAATTGGTGGTGCTTCAAGATTTTGTGCTTCTATATTTAAGTATATTGTTTTTATAGTGAGACCATGTGATTCAGTATGTGTTTTATAAATGTTTAATAATTTATAAATAGGTAATATTTTTGTATCACAGTGCATTATTTTTCTTCCTTCTAATGTATACCACTGTATTTATCACTTTTAAGAGTGATTGATGACAGGCCAGATGACCTTTGAAGTAGTCATTATGTAGCAATAAATAAAGCCTACAACAGTTGTTTTTTTTTTTTTTTTAATTTTCCCTTAGAAGTGTCTCGCAACTGCATATTTTCATTGACATCTATGTATTCAGTATAAATTTTAATGGGTGACTTTTGCATATTTAAGATTCTTTATATGGCAGATATTTTTTATAACAGGGTATTAACATAAGTTATATTCTGTGTATTTGAAACTTAGAGAGCTTTCCTCTTCAGCAAAATACAAAAAGGTGTGTTATGTAGGAAAAAAAAGTAAAGGACATATTTTCGTTAGTCCTGTCATTTAAATTATATAAAATGTAGTCATTATTTTGATGGCTTTTTTACTCTGTGGATTACATGTTTTTGTATCACAAACACGTATCTCAAGAAAAATAAACTACACTAAATAGTCCTGTTTCAAGAAAAATATTTATAAACATCTCAATTTGAAGATCATGTGAGAGTTCTGTCTAAGGCTAGGAGAGACTGACAAATTTCACCATTTGGGCATATAGTTCCTTCTGAGTTACATCTATAGTATAGCCAGAGATAGTATGGACAAGAATATCAACTTTTTGGAAGTAGGTATTTCATAAGTAGTGTAAAATGTCACAGATATTAAATACTTTAAGTGACAACATGTAATAACTTGTGAAATTTATTGAAGTGGTATAAGATAAAGAAGACTTGCATATCAAACTCACTGTTCTTTATGTAGTGTGCTTATTTTGCACTATAAGTAACAGTATAACCTGTGAATATTGAACTCACCTTCAGATAACCAAACAGTGGAGAGCTCTTTATTGGATACATTTGGATTTGTTTGCATTTAATAAAAATGTAAATTATTATGTGCCTAAAATTTAGAGGCACATTTTAAAGTATTATTTATAGATACATTTCTGAAAACATTTGTTACTGTACGGTCATGTTCTTGTTGGTAATTATTTAAATTTTAAATTGTTTTAAAGGTGAAGAAAAAGAACAGTTCTTTGTACTCAGTCTGTATTGATCTACTTTTGGTCTTAGGTCTTTTAATACTATTTTCTTTCTCTGAATTTTTGAAATAGGTAGTAAAATCTAGCCCATTTGTATTATGCAGCCATCCAGCAAGTTTTGTCTTTATACCTGCTCTGTGCAGAGCACTTTACTAGGCTTCATTGCTTGGAAGAGGAATGAAATAGCTCTTTCCCTCTTGCAGCTGAATGTGTGAAGTGGATGGTTAACAAAGTAAAAGTGTTTGCTGTAATAGAGCTATGAATCATGACTAGGTCGTTGAAAACCAACACAGGATAGTCATGCCAAGAATGAGAGGGAAACCTAAAATCCTGCTATAGGAAGTAAGCATTAAACTTGTCTAGGCAAGAGTTGAAAATCTGACAAGTAGATAATACATGGAAAGACTGAACTTTGCTTTTTAAGGAGGTTTATTTTAAAGAATCTTCTGTGTCGTATGAATAGCTCACTTTATAATTTAATCAGAAAAGTAGTAGACTGTGAACTGCTTAAGTTTATAATAGCCTAGATTTAGATACTGTTTCTCAAGTGAAGACCAGAAAGTTGTTTCTATCAAACTGAACTTTTTTAATAACAAGCATAACTTTGATAACTTGACTTAAAATTTAAAGAGACTATCTTGAAATAAACCACAAACTTCCTAACCATCCTTGGGTTTTTATTTCTTCGTGATTTAGTGATTTGATATATATGATATACACATAATTAAAAAATCAGAAATTATTTATCTCCTGATCCTTTTTAAAAAAGGTTTATTTTTATTTATTTATGCATGTAAGAACTGGGGTATAGGCCAGAGGTGCAGGGGAGGGTGGGGGGGTGAGAAGATTCACCAGAGACAGAGTAGGGAGCAGAACAGGTGGATCTGCTGAAATACATTGCTGAGGGGAGCAGTGGGGCAAGAAAGGAGAGTTCGGCTGTGCCATGTGGGTTAGCTCCCGGCCTGGGATCAAACTTAGGCAGTAGTGGCCTGCAAGAGCTTGATAGTGCTGAGACTTAACCCCTTGTGCCACGCCACTGGGGAGGTCCAACCTCCCATCTTATATGCATCTACCTGTCTTCCCACTCTACGATCTCAAGAGGTAATCATTTATATTTCTTTTTGTGCATCTTCCCAAGATTTAGGTGCAAAATAGCAGTAATTACTAATACATAATTTTATTTTCTCCCCTCATGTTTTTATATAAAAGAACACAATGGTACCTCCTCAATTACTTTTTGTTCTTTATACTTATTATAGAATCTTAAAGGTTTCCTTGTTTCTGTCAAAGTTCTTTTATCAGTGTTTGATAAAAGCATCTTAATTCCAGAAAGGCAAGAAGAAAATCCATTACAAGAATTATGACCATATGTTTTAGTAGGACTGTTTTTCCCATAACAACATTATTACTAAAAACACTTGAAGGATTTCTTTTTCAATTTGGGCTTTATTTAATGCCTTTATTTTTTTCCTTCCAGACATGAAATCTTGCTATCTAAATTTATCTTTTTCTCACTTGATACATTGATTTTTTTTTTTTCACATCAGATTCTTAGGAATTTGAAATATTTTATTTTCTATGATTTGTATTTAGTATGGAATGATAGGCAAATTTTAAAATTTAACATTTTGGGGGAAATATTTTCTGCATTTGCATTGGTAAAATTACAACCATATTTTTATGCTTTTTACAAGTGAAGAGCTAGGTTTCATTCAAGTGCTTTATTATGAACTTATAATAAATAAATGTTTATTTTTCCTTTTTGGAGGGTAAGTTGCTAGCCAGCCTCCAAGACAGTCCACAATGATCTCCGTATCTTGGTATTCACACCATTGTAGATCTCCTTCCACATTGTACCATTGTTGGTCTTTTTGATCAATATAATACAGCAAAAGGGATGGAATGTCATTTCAAAGATGATATTATAAAAGGCAGGCATCCATCTTTGGTGCCTTCGTCCCTCCCATGTCCTCCTTCCCCCTCTACTGTTCTCTCTCTCTCTGCCCTTCTCTTTCTCCCCTCCTACTTCCCCTCTTTCAGAGGAGCCAGCAGCCACAAGTAGGCAATCCCACAAAGAAGTCCATTTGGTGACAAACTTAAATCTCTTGCCAAAAGCCATAGGTGTGGAAGTGGATTCTTTTTAACCCCAGTTAAGCTTTCCAATTGTAGTCTAAGCCAAGAGTTTGACTGCAGTTTCACAAGAACCACTCAACTAAGCTACTCTCAGATTCTAAATCTCAGAAAATGTATAAGATAATAAGTACTTGTTATTTTAAGCTGTTCAGTTTTCTGGTGATTTGTAAAATGCAACAATATGTACTAGATAACTAATCCAAGGTACCTATACCTTTGAGCAGTTTAAGTGAAAATTGCTAAAGGGCCTCCCTGGTGGTGCAGCGGTTAGGCGCTGGGCTGCAAAGCTGCCCGCAGCCTCTGCAGTGCTGGTTCGATCCCCGGCCACCGGTGAAGGGCCCACATGGCGCACAGACCTCTCCTGCCGCACCTGCTGCTCCCCTCAGCAGTGTTTCGGTTCTTCTGCCTGTTCTGCTCCCCGCTCTGGCTCTGGTGAATTCTCTCACCCTCCCGCGCTTCTGACTGTACCCAGTGCTTGTATAAATAAATAAATAAATCTTTTTTAAAAATTGCTAAAAATAATTGGACAGGGCCTCCCCTGGTGGCGCAGTGGTTGAGTGCTGGGCTGCGAGGCTTCCCGCAGCCTCTGCGGCGCCAGTTCATTCCCCAGCCTCAGGCGAGGGTCCCACACACACAAAATAATAATTGGACAGAATTAAGCATATTTCTTAACATTTATAGATTAACATTTAAAGATTTTGTGCCACAAGTATTATGTGCTAAGTGTAGGAATACAAGAGAAAGAGTAGGATTTGGCCATGTAGGAACAACTATGCAATTGTGGGAAACTTCCTGTTTCTAGGAATTGCATGTTGGGATATTTAAATACATGTTCCTGCTGAAAACAATAGCTGATTAAAAAAACATTTTAAAACAAATGGAATTCGAGAAATATGGAATGTCCAACTTAAATATAAAGAGAAGTTAAGAGAACATGGAGCCCTACTGTGACAACCTGACAAGATGAAGAGGACAAATCAAGGTCAAGCTCCACACAAGGTGGTGAATCTACCAGGCAATGTCTGTTTAACAGAACTTCCCCAGAATAGGATGATGACTCTCTCCCACCCCTCCAAGTATTTAACCTTTAGGATGAGTATGAACTAAAAATATAAAGTTATGTAAAATTATAGGTACAGTTTGAATTGCCTACATAATCCAAAGAAACCACTTAACTTGCTTTAAAGTGCGCCCCTACTGATACCTCTAGGTGCTGAGAAAAATAAAATGTAAAATCCTTTCCATAGAAAAAACTTAATTTTAGACATCAAATTACTTTTAAAATTCAACGTCTAGTAACAGTAAAAAATGAGTACTTAAGGAAACTCATCCATAAGCAAGAGTAGAAAAAATGAAAATGAATAAAGACTTAGGCATCCAATTTGTGTTTTCTGTGCCTAAAGAAAGGCTCGAAGGTACTTCTAGACAATGGGAAACCATAAGAAGTGATGGGAGCTAATTTGGGAAAGAACTGAATACAAACATTGCAAGAATATAAGAAGCAGTTTAAAACTTAGTAAATGATTTTTATGACAGAATAGGATATAGCCTGCAGTGGGAATTATATACTGAAATATAAATCAGGAGAAAATATCCAGAGGACGGTATAGAAAGACAAAAAGCTGGAGTGGATGGAAAGATCAGGAGATAGGATATCTAAGAAGTAGATACAATGTAGAAGTTTCAAAACTAATTGATAGACATGATGCCACATATTCAGAAACAAGACACTAATTAGAAAACAGGAACTTGCAAGTGATGCAAGGATTTGGATTCAAGGATTCGAGGATTTGGATCCTTGTTTTGGATGCCTTGTTTTAAAAATACACTGAATTGCAGAACAAATTTGAGATAAGAATTAAAATAAGTTGAAGCCATCAATGTAGGCATATTTAAAAAGAAGTTGGAGACAACCAGATTGTACAAGTAGATAACTTTTTAGTTAGGTGATAGTTATTGGGCTTGCAGAAAACTTTCCATAACAAAATAAAGGCCAGGAGGCTTAATATATGCGGCTTGGAATAAACTGTAAGGTCAACTACACTTATTCAAGAGTGAGTTATGGGCCTCCCTGGTGGCGCAGGCGGTTGAGCGTCCCACTGTGAAGCTGTTCACAGCCTCTGCAGCGCAGGTTTGATCCTAGCCAGCTGGGAAGAAACCCAGATGGCCAGCAGACCTTTCCCGTCTCGCTGCTGCTCCCCTCAGCAGTGTATTTTGTCAGTCTGCCTGTTCTGTTCCCCGCTCTGTCTCTGGTGAACCCTCTCACCCTCCTGCACATCTGTCCTGACCCTGGTTCTTGTATAAATAAATAAATCTTTTTTTTTAAATTTTTTTTTTAAGATTTATTTATTCAAGCATACAAGAACTGGGATACAGGCCAGAGGTGTGGAGGGTGAGAGGACTCACCAGAGACAGAGCAGGGAACAGACAGCCAGATTGACTGAAATACACTGCTGAGGGGAGCAGCGGGTGAGTCAGGAGAGGTCTGCTACGCCCTGTGGGTAACTCCCTGGCCAGGGATTGAACTCATGCTACAGTGGCTGCGGATAGCTTCATAGGTTTCTCTTAACCTCTTGAGCCACCAGGGAGGCCCCAAAATAAATAAATCTTAAAAAAAAAAAAAAAGAATGCCTGAGACCCAGGCACAGGTTTAAAAAAAAAAAAAAGTTATGTATATTGAATCAAAGGTCACATTTCCACAGATGACCACCAGTTGGCTTCAAGTTAGTTTAGGGACTGATGGAAAGGATGAACTGCACATTTTCAAGCTGAAGCAATGACTTATGAAATTATTAGTATTAAAGTTAACACTGACAACTTTGAAAATGCCGTACAGCCAGCAGCCCTTGGGGCCTTTGAAATCATACCACCTGTAGTCTTAAGGTTGAAGTGTGATTCAGGGCCTGTGCATATTAGTGGACAGTACTTAGTAGCTATGGAGGAAGATGCGAAGTCAGAAGATGAAGAGGAGTATGTGAAACTCCTAAGTATACCCGGGAAACATTCTGCACCTGGAAGTGGTAGCAAAGTTCCACAGAAAAAGAGTAAAACTTGCTGCTGCTGAAGATGATGATGATGAGAAAGCTGAAGAAAAAGCACCAGAAATCTATATGAAAAACTCCAGAAGTCAAACCAGAATGGAAATGACTCAAAACCATCAACACCTAGATAAAAAGGTTAATAATCTTTCAAAAAAAAAAAAAACAAAAAACTCCAAAAACACCAAAAGAACCCAGTTCTGTAGAAGATACTAAAGAAAAAATTCAAGCAAGCATAGAAAAAAGGTAGTTTTCTTTCCAAAGTGAAAGCTGAGTTCATCAGTTTTGTCTTCACAAAACTTCCAGATCACTGATCAGGAAACTAGTCAAGATATCTGGTAGTGGAGGAAGTCTCTTTAAGAAAATAGTGCAGTTTGTTAAAATTATCTGTCTTACTTCATTTGTCTAACAGTTGGTATCGGTTGTTCTTTTTATGATGTAGGGTGACAGCTTTCCCATGTCTTATAAATGTCCAGGTTTCATTGCCAGGAATGTGTTGTCCAAAATGCCTGTTTAGTTTTTAAAGATGGAACTCCACCCTTTACTGGGCTTTAAGTATGTATGGAATGTTACACTAGGGCATAGTAGTAGTGATGGTCAGACAAATGGAAAAGGGAAGACAAAAATATCTGTGTGAATTAAACTCAGTATTTTAATAAAGTGAAAACATACAATTCTTATAATTTAAAAAAGTCCACAAATAACCCAGTTTAAACATGAGCAAATGATTTGCATTTTTTCCAAAGAAAATATGCAGATAGCCAATAAACACTTGAAAATATGATCAACTTTATTAGTCACTAGGGAAATGTAAATTAAAATCATGAGATACTTCATATCCATTAGGATGGCATAATTAAAAATAAATAGCATAATAAGTGTTGGTGAGGGTACAGAGAAAGTGAAACCCTCATTGCTGGTGAGAACGTAAAATGGTGTGGCTGCTTTGCAAAATTGGTGGTTCCTCAAAAAACGGTGGTTTTAAGGTGGTTCCTTAAAAAAGTTGACATACGAAACAACTCCATTCCTATGTGTATATGCCCAGGAGGAATTCATCCACATACTCCAGACATAACTTACCCATGAATGTTGACAGTGCTGTGAAAAATGAATGTTCAATACAGACTCCACCTTGCTGAATTTTTAGCTTTTGAAAAGTATTTGCTGACTGGTTCTCTGATTAGCATAGACTTCTCCATGAACTATAGAACAGCAATTTTTTTTTTAAAGGTTTATTTTATTTATGCATACAAGAACTGGGATACAGGCCAGATGTGCGGGAGGGTAAGAGGATTCACCAGAGACAGAGCAGGGAACAGAACAGGCAGACTGTCAAATAAACTGCCGAGGGGAGCAGCAGGTTAGACAGGAGAGATCTGCCGCGCCATGTGGGCATCTCCCTGGCCACCTGGGATAGAACCTGCGCTGCAGAGGGTGCAGATGCCTTCACAGCACTGTGCTCAACCGCCTGCGCCACCAGGGAGGCCTGGAAAAGGAATTTTTTTCTTTCTCTCCCTAGCAACTAAGGCCAATTTGACTAAACACCAACAAACAAGGATGAATATAGTCAATCACAATTTTTTGTAAACTATTTATGCAGTCCTATCCTTCCCTCATCTTTCTGCGTTTAAAATCTTCTTGCACCAAGACTGCAGCAGAACATAGTTGGGTGCTGGCTGAATTTGTGCTCCCTGATAATACAAATCTGATACGGTTCCCCAAATAAATGCTGTTGTTTTATTTTAGATCTGTCATGTTTTTTCCCCACTAGCCAAAAAAGTGGAAACAACCCAAATGTCCTCACATTAATGAACAGATAAAATGTATATGCAAACAATGGAATCTTACATTGGGCACTGATACTACAATATGGATAACCTTAAAAACATTTTACTAAGTGAAAAAAGGCAGTCACAAAAGCCGATATATTGTGTGATTCACTTGTATGAAATGTCCAGAACAGGCAAATCCATAGAAACAGATTAGTGGCTGCAGATGTTGAGAAAATGGTGAATGACTGTTTTGATGAAAATGTTTTAAAATTGAGGGTAGTACTGTTTTCACAAATTTATGAATACTGTAAATGTTTATCATCAGGTAATTGCAAATCAAATATAAATCAATCATACATCAATAACGCCTTTAAAAAAAACCCATTGAGGTCATTGCTTTCTGAAACTCAAGATCAAGGATTATTCTTGATTGTACCAGAGAACACAAAAGCCTGGCAGAGGGTTGATTGAAATAATTACAACTCAAGTCTGGAAAGAGTAAAATAATATTAACATCTGACATGTTGGGTGAGGAGAGTTGCCATTTGTATAAAGTCAGGTGATGTACTGTCATCCTAATTTTGCAACTGGCAAGTCGAGCTGTGTTAATCTGAGAACCAGAAAATGGTACTGCTGTGTTGTTAATTCAGATCAATCTCACTCCACCAGCACTCTTTTTCCTGCCCCAGTTGAGCTGCGGAAAGTGGGCGAATATTCAAGGAGGACAAAGACCACAGTGGGTTCAAGTCCCGCTACTAAGAGTATTTTGTTAGCAAACACCGGTAGAAAGCAAAAGGCAGAATCCTCGTGCGGAAACATTCATTTTGATAAAGATGTTAAGGATGATCAAAATACACAATCATTGTTTTTAAATTTATGCATACAAGAACCGGGGTACAGGCCAGAGGTGAGGTGTGTGTGAGAGGATTCACCAGAGACAGAGTGGGGAACAGAACAGGCAGACTGAATGAAATACACTGCTGAGGGGAGCAGCGGGCGAGACAGGAGAGGTCTGCTGCATCTTGTGGGTTGCTCCCTGGCCGGCCAGGAATCGAACGTGTGCTAGAGTGGCTGCGGATTGCTTCATAGCGCGGTGCTTAACCCCTTGCGCCACCAGGGAGGCCCGTGATTATTATTGGAGGTAATGAACTATATCAAACTTTAGAAATTCGCACCCCATACCAACAACTGCTTTCAATTCTGGGGTTTCATCCTCTGCCTCTAACGTAGCCTTCAGGACTGTTTTCTGAGGTATCTTTCAAAACAGCACCGTGCTCCCTCCGGCCCGAGGGTAACAGCCCCGCAGACGGCGAGCGAGCGAGTTATGTTCGTCCGCTCCTGCGCGCAGGCGGCTTCCGCTTCCGCTTCCACTTCCGCTTCCACTTCCGCTTCGGAGCTCCCTTCCTGGCGGCCCTCGAAGGCGTCTGCAGTGGCCCTGGTCTGCAGTGGTTTGTGAGTGGGACTTTCACGCCATCTGTGACCCGTCAGAGGCGGCGCCCGTGGTTTGGCGCCTGCGCGAACCGCTGGCGTCCGTTACCATGACAGCAGCCGCTGGGGACCCTGGTAAGTCTTGGTCCTGAGGCTCTGGGTCTGGAGCCTATCTCCCCACGATTGGTTCACAGCCCGCTACTTTTCTATGGCGGTGCGGATAGTTGGGGGCCGCTTAGAGAGACTCTGGCAGCACCCCTCTCTTGTTTGGATGGTTGAGTCCGCATTCTCACCGCGCACTCATTATCTGCTGACCTAAAACCTTGGTTCCTGGCATGAGTGTTAAGGGAAAAGCGTTTGGGGTGGCCAAAAAGGGCAAGAATATTGTACTTTTTTTTTTTTTTTTTAAATAAAAAAGGACCTAGTTTTTAGGAGCTGTTTTAGGTTCATGGGTAAATTGAGGGAAAGACACAGAGAATCTCCATATTCCCCAAACCCCCACTCAATTTCCCCTTGTCAAAATTCCCCACCAAAGTGGCGCAATTGTTAGAATGATGAGCCTATATCGACATATCATAATAATCTAAAGACCACAGTTTTCCTTAGGGTCCACTTTTGGTGGTGTACATTCTATGGACTTAGACAAATGGAGAATGACATATCCATTACTGTGGTATCCGAATGGTTTTGCTAGCATAAAAATTCAAAATTATGTGGTCCATTACTTACTCATCACTTCCCTTGTTCCCATTCCAGACCAACAGTGTTATTGCTGTCTACACAGTTTTGCCTTTTGCTAATGTCATATACTTGAGATCATATAGTATGTAGTCTTTTTAGATTAGCTTCTTTCACTTGGTAATATGTATTTAAGTTTCTTCTCTGTCTTTCATGATTTGATGGCTCATTTCTTTTTAGTGTTGAATAATATTCCATTGGTGGTATCACAGTTTATCCATTCACCTGCTGAAGACAGATATTTTGGTTGTGTCCAAGTTTTGGCAATTATAAATGAAGCTGCTATGAGCATCTGTGTGCAGATTTTTGTATGGACATGTTTTTAATTCCTTTGGTTAAATACCAGTGAGCATTATTTCTGGATTGCATGAGAGTATGTATAAGTTAGTAGGAAATTGTCAAATGTATCCAGAAGTGGTGATCATTAGCAATCCCACTTGCATGAATTGAGAATACCTGTTGTCCCACATACTCAGCAAGCAGCATTTGGTGTTACCAGAATTCCAGATTTTGGTCATCTAATAGATGTGAAGTGGTACCTGATTGTTTTAATTTGCATTTTCCTATGCTTTTCATATGCTTATTTTCCACTTGTATATTTCTTTTGGTGAGGTGTCTGTTCAGGTGTTTGGCCCATTTTTCAATTAGATCGTTTTCTCATTGTTGAGCCTTAAGAATTCTTTGTATACTTTGAACCACAACCTCTTATCAGAGTGTATTTTTGCAACTGTTTTCTTCCAATCTGTGTCTTGTCTTTTCATTTTCTTTTTTTTTTCTTTTCATTTTCTTGACACTGTCTTTAGCAGAAAAGAAGTTTTCCACTTAATGAAATTCAGCTTGTTCATTATTTCTTTCATGAATAGTGTATTTTGTGTTGAATCTAAGAAGTTATATCCATACCCAAAGATATCTAGTTTCCCACCCTATATTCTAGCCTTTTCTTTTTTAATACATCTTTGTTCATTTTGTATAATGTTTGCTTTTTTCTCTCAGATGTAGTCCCCATAAAATCCCAACCACCAATTCACCTGTGAACTGTCACCATAGTCCCTGTGCTCTTCCCTCCCCTGTTTTGATCCCTCTGCCTCCCCCTCCCTTACAGAATGTCTTTGATTTATAAATGCCTGCTAATTTTGTATTTTTTTATTATTTTTTTTTCCTGATCCCTTATTTGGTTCCCCTATATTCCTCCTATAAGTGAAACCATCCGATATTTTCTTATTCCTCCTGGCTGATTTCACTGAGCATAATCTCTTCTAGCTCCATCCATATTGCTGTGAATGGCATGAGTTTATCTTTTTTGACTGCTGAATGATATTCCATTGTGGAATGGATACCACATCTTGATCCAGTCAAAATGCCCATTTGGGGGCATTTTATAGTTTTGCATTTTACATTTAGGTCTATGATCCATTTTGATTAATTTTTGTGAAAGTTGTAAGGTCTGTGTCTAGATTCATGTGAATTCATTTTTTCACATGAATGTTCAATTGCTCCAGCACTATTTTTTCCAAATGCTATCTTTACCCCATTGTATTGCTTTTGTTTCTTTGTCAAAGATCAGTTGATTCTATTTAGAGGGGTCTATTTCTAAGCTCGCTCTTCTGTTCCATTGATCTATTTATCTGTTCTTTCAGCAATACTGTTCTGTTGATCACTGTAGCTTTATAGTAAGTCTTGGTCTTGGGTTGTGTCTTCACTTTGTTCTTCTTCATTATTGTGTCTATTATCCTAGGTTTTTGCCCACCATTTAGATTTTAAAATCAGTTGGTTGATAACCACAAAATAATTTGGTAAGAATTTTGATTGGGATTACTTGAGTCTGCAGATCAAGTTAGGAAGAACTAACATCTTGACAATATTGAGTTTTTCTATCCATAACATGGAATGTCTGTACATTATTTGGTTCTTTGATTTCAATTATCATGTTAGCGCTATCTGAGGTCACCCAGGAACCCTAAACAAACAGGTGGCGTATGCTCTAAAGCAGGGTCTAGCCCATCTGCCACATAAAAACAAAGGCAGACTCTTAGTGTCCTAGATCTCTATTAGAATTAGTGTGTATACCTGCACCCCTATGTTTATAGCAGCACTGTTTACAATAGCTAAGCTTTGGAAACAACCCAAATGCCCAAAAATAGATGACTGGATCAAGAAGATGTGGTACATATATACCATGGAATATTACTCAGCATTCAAAAAAGATAAACACATGCAATTTGCTGCAACATGGATGACGCTGGAAGGGATCATGCTCAGCGAAATAAGCCAAAAAGAAAAAGAAAAATACCGGATGGTCTCACTCATAGCAGGAATCTAGAAAACTTAAATAATGGACCAGGAAAATGAAAAACTATAAGAAAGTGAAAATCAAAATCAACAAAAAACTATGAACCAGAGACACTTTTAGGGGGGCGGGGGCGGGAGGGGAGGGATTGGGGTCAGAATGGGGGGCTGCAATTGTATGGGGAATATAACAATAAAATTTATAAAAAAAAAAAAAAAGATCAAAAAAAAAAAATTTACATTTGTATATCATTAAGCATTCAAAAAAAATAAATAGAATTAGTGTGTATAGACAGGGAAGAGAAGTTTTTTGTTATTTATTTCCCCATTCTGTGGAGGTTCATACTATCCTATATGTTTGCTAGCCACGACTTACACAGTAGCATGTTTATGTATATCTGCCATATAATATTTGCTCTTAATTTTTAAAATTTTCAGTGTTTTCCCAGTTTATTATTCTCCATCAATGAAATTTACCCCATAAGGGGCCTCCTTGGGGGTGCAGGGGTTAAAGACAGAGCTAACAACCTATCCCCAGCCACTGCAGCACAGGTTCAGTCCCCAGTCGGCAAGGGAGCTGACCCACATGGCACAGCAGACCTTTCCTGTCTCACCTGCACCTGCTGCTCCCCTCAGCAGTGTATTTCAGTAGATCTGCCTGTTCTGCTCCCCAATATCTCTAGTGAATCCTTTCACCCCCAGCACCTCTGGCTTACCCCTCAGTTCTTGTATGCGTAAATAAATAAATCTTTAAAAAAAATTTTCCCCATAAGAACCAGTCTATTCTTTTCAGTGCAAATGCTGTTATTTTAGGATCTTGGAGTGAAAATATTTTGGAATATTTTCTGAGGAATAAGCAGATCACAACAGAAGATGGAGCCCAGATCACCTGGTATCATGCAGCTAACCACAAGGCACAAATGAACGAGGCACTGAAAAGTAAGTCAGTACAGTTACTTGTGTGTACATTGAATAGTAGATGAATTCAACTCTTTTTTTTATCTTGGCTTATCTGCAAGTATCGAAGAGTTAGATGATCCAAGTATAAATTCTAGGCTGACATAAACATTTTTATAAATGATCTCATTGTTTACAAAATGAACACATTTCCATTAATTTTTCCTTTTCTATATCTTATTTGAAACTGTCGTATTATTATTACACTTGCTCATATATTGTATTTGAATAAAATTTTAAATATCAGGATCATCTATCAGCATATTTTTGTTTCTTTCATTGCTACTAAGGCATGACTCAATAAATATTTATTGAATGGATTTCTGAAGCCATTGTATACTGGCTTTTAATTAATTGCCTTAGGCAGTGTATCTATGCCTTTTGGTTTATAGATTCAGTCTATAATCATGTATGTATAACCCTTCATTATCTAGATGAGTACTTCTTGAGGAGTTGCCAAGCTTTTCTAGAGCACCTGCACATTTTTATATTCCCAGGAATAGAGTGAACGAGGCACGCAATTTCTCCCTGTCTTTGCCAACACTTATTATTGTCTGTCTTTTCTAGTATAGTGCTTCACTGGGATATGGATTGTTATCTCATTGTGGTTTAAATTTTCATTTCCCTAAAGATTAATTACGTTGAACATCTCTTCATGTGTTTATTGAAAAATGATCCATCTTTGCAGCTGAGTAGCTTTTTTAGCCTGTTTCCTGCATGTAGAAATTTCAGAGTCCACATACCTCTTTTCATTTTGAATTTCTCTCTTTCTTTGAGCTACATTTCTATTAAAAACGTAGTGGACTTTCTACTTATCAAATTAGAAAGTGTTCCTTGAATCAAAAGGCTCACCCCAATCTCTTTGAGATAGGTTTTTCTTTACTTTGATCTGCTAGGGAGGGTCCTGTGGGACAATACTCTTACGTTTCTAGAAGTTCTTTTGTCTCATAGTGTGGGCACAACAGGCAAGATCATTTTGCTTTTTTAGCAGAGTTTTGTAGTTCCATCTTTGATTTCATCTTGACCCTGAGTTTACTGGCAGTATCCGGGATTTGACTTCTGGCTTGAGGCTGTGTCTTATTTTCAGAATCCTTTACCAACTGAAGGGTAGGTTTTATTTTTTTAACTCAGGACAAGTTCTGAAGTGGAAATATATCCTCTTTGTGCTACTTAAACTATGAATAGTTAATTATTTTACCCAGTTCTCTCTTCCCATTTTTTATTATAAGCAACTGAAAGCAGCTAGTTGGCACTTTCAGCATTCTGCCTGGAAACCTCCTTAGCCAAATCCCAAATTCATCAGGTACTCTTCTATCTTCTACCAATTGCTACAAGTGGCAATGTTGCCAAAAAGTTTCACCACTATATTGACTGTTCTCAAGCCTCCAATTAGAAATTCCTTACTGTTTTCCAACTTCCATTAGTATGCACTCTCTATCTTTCTAGAATCCTCCATACCACAAACCCAGCTTCCCATGTTTCAGGCTATTGTTAAGGCAGTGACCCACTTTCAGGGAACTAATTCTTTTTGTTTTCTGTTGCTCTGTAATATATTACCCCTAGAACTCAGTGACTTAAAATAACAACATGTGATTATTTTTCTTCATTTTGTGGGTCAGCTGGTGGTTCTTCCTTCTGTGTGCTAAAGATTGGGCATACTCAAGTTGCTGCATTCAGTTGGGAGCTCAGCTTACCTAGAAATTCTAAAATGTCCTCACATGTCAGAGACCTTAATACTGTCAGTCAGGCAGGAAGTCTTAGTTCTCCTTCATATGACTTCTCTCTCTCCATGCAGTCTCTGAGTCTTCAGTAGTTTTGCCTGAACTTCTTTATAGGGTCACTGGCTTTCAAGAGGATGAAAGCAGAAGCTGCTAAGGCTATGCCTAGAACTGACTGTTTTACTTCTACTACCTTCTGTTGGTCATAGCAAATCACAAGACCAGCCCAGACTCAGGGGAAGAGAAAGAAATGAGAAAAGAATTATATGTGTATGGGAGGAATTGCTGTCAACTATTTTTGGAGTCAGTCTGCCACAGCTTGCTAAACACATTCACACTAAGTGACTGCTGAAGCTTATTACCCATTCCTGGGATGTGTGCTTTTAAACAGTAGCTAAGCTGTAACTTGAAGTAACAAATCTGTAACGCAGGATTGCAAGCATAAGTAATATATATTTATAGTTTCAAATTTGAAGAGTGAAAAGATAAAAGTGCTATTTTTATTCTTAAAAACTTTAACAAATTCTTACTATAACAAATTCTTTATATACTTTTATTCTTACTTCAGCAAATTCTTTGTATACTCACTTTGCTCTGTACTGGGAAGAAATTAGTTAACATGAGAACAGTTTAAGAGCTGTGTGACCTAGGAAAAGGCATTTAATTCCTATCACCTTTCTGTTCATCTGTAAAATATAAGGACAACATGTAAAGGCCTAGCAGGAAGTAACTATGCCATAAATGTTACTTTTCTTTCCTTCTCTTATCTTCCTCGAAAGGATACTGGATATGGAATCTCCTTGTTAAATTAGCTTTAACTTATTTTGTTTGGACAGGTACTGCTCATATGATAGAGGCTGATGTCCTCCTTCCTAGTGATGAGTCAGAATATGGACAGCCTATCATGGCCCATCCTCCTGAAACAACCAGCGATAATACTTTACAGGAATGGCTGACTGAAGTTATGACAAGCAGTAAAGGCATCAAGCTGGATTTCAAGAGGTATTTTGTATAAACATGTTCAATCTTCTAGTGGATGTAGAATACCAATGGGAAAAACAGTTGATAGCTTTACATAATATCTGTGTCTAACTTTATACTTTTTCTAAACTGAAGATGAAAGTCCAAGCTAATACGTTTCAAAATGGACCTAAGGCCCACCAAGTAGTTTGCAAAGACTGTTTTTTGGGAAGCCCTTGAGGCTAAAATTAAGCTATTTTTTTTTTTAATAGAGGCATGTTTTATTTATTTATTTGTTTGTTTGTTTGTTTGTTTTTGTTTATACATGCACTGGGTACAGTCAGAAGCTCGGGAGGGTGAGAGAATTCACAAGAGCCAGAGCTGGGAGCAGAGCAGGCAGAAGGACCGAAGTACACTGCTGAGGGGAGCAGCGGGCGGCAGGAGAGGTCTGCGTGCCATGTGGGACCCTCCTCTGGTGGCCGGGGAGCAGCCGGGGATCGAACCGGCGCCGCAGAGGCTGCGGACAGCTTTGCAACCCAGCGCTCAACCGCTGCGCCACCGGGGAGGCCCAAATTAAGCTAATTTTTATAAAGTGACATAAGTGACTGTTGTAATAATAAGAATGGTAAATTTAAAACTGCTCTTGTTAAAAAGTAACCTGGGAAGAGAGATAGTTGGCAATAGTTGGATAGTTCATGCATAGCCTGCTTGATTTATGTTATCACATTTTTGTACAGGGAATTAGCTAGAATTCTTCAGTAACGTCAGTGTTCCTTAATAATAAAAATAATACATTGGAAGCATTGATAATGAGGAGCAAGATTGTCATTTGCTTCACTAAGGCTGTCATGGAAATTTTACTTCTGTGTTATTTTGGCAGTGTAAAAATTATAGCTAAAACCAGGACAAACCCCATGAAGGCAACTGTGAGGAAGATCTGAGATATTTGTAGTGAACTTAGGTCATTTTTATTTTTTATTTTTTTTAAATATTTTAAAAGGACAGGTTATTAGGAAAGGGAGAAAGATAAAGAGAGACACCTGCATAGTCACAGGGGAATAGGAAAGTGAGCAAGTATAATTACTATTTCTTTCTTTTTTTTTTTTTTATCGTTGTTCATTTTTAAACAATATTTGCTTCCCCCCTCTCCCTCAGGTGTGGTGCGCATGGAATTTCCTTCACCAGTGCACCTGTGCACCATCACCTCAGTCCCCTGTGCCCCTCCCTCCCTCCCTCTGATCCCTCTCCCTCCTCCCCTGCAGTATGTCTCTGATTTATAATTATCTGGTTTTGCTTTGTTGTGTTTTGTACTGTTATTATATTTTTTTACACTAATGTCTTTTTTGGTTCCCTATATTCCTGCTATAAGTGAAACCATCCGATATTTTTCTTTTTCCTTCTGGTTTATTTCACTGAGCATAATTCCTTCTAGCTCCATCCACATTGCTGCGAATGGCATGATTTTATCTTTTTGATTGCTGAATAATATTTCATTGTGTATATATGCCACATCTTCTCGATCCAGTCATCTATTTTTGGGCATTTGGGTTGTTTCCAGGCTTTACCTATTGTAAATAGTGCTGCAATAAACATAGGGGTGCAGGTGTTCTTTTGAATTAATGTTTTTGTGTCCTTTGGGTAGATCCCTAGGAGTGGAATTGCTGGTTCTTATGGTAGCTCCATTTTTAGTAGACTGAGGAACCTCCAGACAGCTTTCCATAGTGATTGGACCAGTTTGCACTCCCACCAGCAATGTAGGAGAGCTCCTTTTTCACCACATCCTCACCAACATTTGTTGTTGCTAGATTTTTTAATATGTGCCATTCTTACTGGTGTAAGGTGGTATCTCAATGTCGTTTTTTTGATTTGCATTTCCCTGATGATAAGGAATGTTGAACATTTTTTCATATGCCTGTTGGCTATTTACATTTCCTCTTTGGAGAACTACCTTTTAAGTTCTTTTGCCCATTTCTTGGCTGGATTGTTTACTTTGCTTTTGTTGAGTTGTGTGAGTTCTTTGTATATCTTTGTGGTCAGTCCCTTATCATTTGTATGGAGTGCAAAAATTTTTTCCCAATCAGTGGGGTGTCTCTCTGTTTTGGTTAATGTCTCTTTTGCTGTACAGAAGCTTTTCAGTTTGATGTAATCCCAGGTGTTTATTTTTATCTTGACTTTCTTTGCTTTGGGTGATGAGTCTTTAAAGATGTTACTGAGATGTATGCTTTGTAGTGTTTTACCTGTATTTTCTTCTATATATTTTATGGTTTCAGGTCTTATGTCCAGGTCTTTTATCCATTTTGAGTTGATTTTTGTGCCTGGTAAGAGGTGGTGGTCTAGTTTCTTTTCTTTTTTTTTTTTTTGCATGTGGTGGTCCAGTTTTCCCAGCACCATTTATTGAACAAACTGCCCAATGTTCCATTGCATATTCTTTGCAAAGTGAGCTTTCTTTTTAAATTGAATTATTTCAAGATTAATAAGGGTTTGGAAAACTTACTCATAGGGTTAAGGTGATTCTCAGGTGAATGAAAAAGCTATTTTGAGATTTTAAAGCTTTTAAGGTGTTGAATGGCTCAATTCCATTTTATTGAAAAAGAAACTTAGTCTAGAGCTGTTAAGTGATTTACCGAAGTAAACAGAAAAGCTTGACAGCTGAACTAGGACCAGATTACAGGTTTCCTGGAGCCAGTTCAGTGTTCTCTGTACCATGAAAGAAAGCATTTGCTCTATAATGCGTGGTGACTCAAAGTTTTAGATACCTCTGCCTTTTCATGTGCTCAGTTTTTCATATGTTTACTATTGCCAGTTGAATTAATCCCTGTGATATATTCTTTGGCTCCTCACCAGTCAGATCAGCTTATTCATTCCTAAATGCTAGCAGCTACCACAAAAGGACCGAGTTACTAAAAAAACATTTTGCAGGTTTTTTGGTCATAGCATATTTGAAGGGGAATGAATTCGACTAACAGTTACATAAACACTTATTGTGTGTCAGACGCTGTTCTAAAAACATTGAAAGTGTTATTTCATTTACTCCTTATAGCAATCCCAAGAGGTAGGTTATTGCTATTATCCTCATTTTTTTCAGCTGAGGGAACAGAGGCAGAGTGGGTAAATGGCTGTTCATGGTTACGTAATTGTTAGGCGAGCTGCCAGCCAGGCTTGAGTGTGCACATTTGCATAGGACTTTGCACCACCCTATGTAAGTAGCTGAATGACCTATTAGTCAGATTTTATTAGTTTGTACCTCTATAAGGTACTTACTTTAGTATATAAATAGTAACTAGATAATATGTGGTTGTTTTAAAATTTTATCGAAGTTTTCCCTTAGAATAATTTTAAATGGCTGAGCATTCATTTTAAGAATGATTTTTATTTTGTAATTCCCAATTTCTAAATGAAATTAGTAGAAAAGTGGTATGATACTCAGAAGTTTGAAGTGCAAGTAACGTTTTTAGGAAAAAAAGTCTATTCTATCAGAACTAAGTTTATATTCTTTCCCAGGAATTTGAATAAGTACTATCAAAGAGAAATTGTAGGTAGCATACTGATCAGAGCTTTCCTCTTCAAATGATCATCTTGGCAAACCTTTTCTTGGTTCTTTATGGGAAACTTGAGAATTGAAAATATTGGACTCTGGTATTTTTAATTAGAATTACATGGAATTTATAGGTTCATTGGGAGGGATGTGTTATTTTGTAATATTTACAGTATTTAGTTTTCCAGACTAGGAACGTGATATATTATTCTTTAATAATATATATTGTATTTTGCTGTTGGGCTAAGTTCACACTCTATTGTGTTTTGTTTCTTCCCCCACCAAACATATTATAGATTTTTCTCCACATTGACTTTTCCAAAAGAATCATAATTATATTATTAAGTTTCAGAAAATAAAAACTACAACAAAGTGCTTTATTTTCTTTAGTTTAAGGTTGGATGATTTTCTTTCTTTTTTTTTTTTAAAGATTCATCTATTTATTTATACAAGCACTGGGTACAATCAGAAGTGCAGCAGGGTAAGAGAATTCACCAGAGCCAGAGAGGGGAGCAGAACAGGCAGAGTGATGAAGTACACTGCTGAGGGGAGCAGCGGATGGCAGGAGAGGTCTGCACACCATGTGGGACCCTCGCCGGTGGCCGGGGATCAAACTGGCACTGCAGAGGCTGTGGGCAGCTTCGCAGCCCAGCGTTCAACCCTCTGCACCACAAGGGGAGGCCCTGGTTGGATGATTTTCTTAAAATAGGTTTGTTTTTCTGGTATAGGAAAGTAGCATAATTGTAGTGTTTATTAGTGGTAATTAAAATATTAAAACAAAATATGTGTATTCAGCTCTTGCTTTGTTCTGTTCTGTATTGTAGCTCATTCTGTTCAACTACACAACTTCATGTAGTAGACACTTAATATATGCTGATGAAATTTCAATTTTGGGGAGAATATGCTATCTGAGACTTGTTATTATCAGATGGAGAATCATTGTTAAACAATCCTATCTCAGCTCACTAAATTGAGAAAGCCTAAGAAGCTCCCTCCTGACATGTAATAAGTACTGTCAATTTTCTTATAAATGAACATAAGACTTAAAAGTTTCAGAAGAGATCCAGAATTATAAGTAGTCTTACTTTTCCAGTGAAATTTGTGTGTGTACATTTTTAAAATGTAAAAATTATGTAGACTGATTAAAACCTTATTGTTTCAAAATCTATAGGTGTCTGGATAGATATAGGTAAGCAAAAAAGAATGAAGCTGCTTTTTTATTTTAGCAACTAAAATATAGTTGTGTCTAGTTTCCAGAAGTTTACAGTAAAGAAAAAAGATGAAATTTATAAATGCTTTAAGAAAATGTTACACTTTTAAATGTATTCATGCGTCCAAACTCAACAAAAATACATGAAAGAAAAGACTTTATTTTCCAAGGTCATGAACCAATATTAGAGAAATGCTATGTGGGTGCACTTTAGATATTTTCATAAATGTGAATTTGTAGTTTATGAGGACATCTGGTTTTCAAATCATGTTTATACCTTCTCTGATGAGTGGATATTTGTGTCTTAAGTTTTTTTTTTTTTTTTTTTCACAGAAGAACTGGAGTGTAGGCCAGAGGTATGGGGGCGATGGAGATGAGAGGATTCACCAGAGACAGAGTGGGGAGCAGAACAGGCAGATTTACTGAAATACACTTCTGAGGGGAGCAGCGGGCGAGACAGGAGAGGTCTGCTGCGCCTTATGTTGGCTTCCTGTCTGGGGAGGGAACTAAGGCTGTGGTGGTGATAGCACTGAAACTTAACCACTAGGCCACTGGCGGGCAGCCCTCCTTAAGTTGTTTTCATACTGAGTGATCCTAATAAAACAGGATTTTGAAACCTCTGTCATTATTCATATTTTTATCAAATTTTCAAGCACCTTCATGAATAATAAATATAAGTCAACATTTTGAGATATGGCATATGTCAGTTTTCCCCTCCTGTGCAATATGAGACTTGATTTGATTTAACTTAGGCATTATTGTTTTTTAGTCAATGAATTTGAGAAAATTTAAACCACTAGTGTAAAAGAAGTTTTACTTTAGGAACATGTTTCATTGACAGCAACTACATTTTCAGTTTGACAGCTGTAGAACCATCCATGATGCTCTTGGAAAATGTGAAGCAGCATCTGAAGCGTCCTGTGTGGATTAATGCTGATATTCTTCCTGGTCCAAATGGAAATAGCAGAGTAGTGGATGCAAAGCCTTTTATAGACACTGTGAAATCCTTCTTTCCAGATGTGACATTTTCCCTGGGTTGGACAACAGGATGGCATCCAGAGAAAGTCAATGAAGGTAATCACTTTTTAAATGTATTTGTTATTGGTCAAATTAAAATATACTCAATAATATATTCCCCCCCTTATTTTTAATTTTTTTCCCATAGTTTCAGATGCCCATAGTCAACTATGGTCCAAAAATAACATGTGCAATAAGATATTTTGAGAGACGATATTCATATAACTTATACTACAAAGTTATTATTATTGTTCTATGTTATTATTGGTTACTGTTGTTAATCTCTTACTCTACCTAATTTGTAAATTAAACTTTTTCAAAAGTATGCATACATATGTATAATATGTATATATGCATGGGGAAATATATATAGGAACTGATGCTAACTGAGGTTTTAGGCAACCACTGGGAATCTTGGGACATAGAGTAAACAAAGTGTCAAAATGTACTTTTATTACACTTGAGAGATCAGTGAAACCTTTTTAATGTCTTAATTTTTGTGAAATTTGCCCTAGCTCACTTGTGGCATAGTTTTAGATTTAAGTTTTTATCCACATTTACCACTCCAAAAATATCTTGCATTAAGTATAAATCCAAAGGGATAGTTTTATGAATTACTTTTGCATTTACTAATTCATATATAATATAGTTTTTGTTTGATTGACTTTCAGGATTCCAGTTATATAATTCAAATTTCCTTTACTTCAGGTTACAATTGGACAATGGTGAAAGAGATGGAAAATATATGTAATGAACTAAATCAGCCTGTAACATTTCCTGTCAGAGCGGCATTAGTCAGGCAGTCTAGTTCTCAGTTACTCTGGCTGCTAAAGAAATCAGACAGGTATGTAATTTTAACAATTTAGTATATACATGTGAGTGTGTGTGTGAAAGAGATAAAAAGAGGATGAAAACTGTAAAGACAGTGTGAGAAGGGGCCTCCCCGGTGGCGCAGCGGTTGAGCACTGGGTTGTGAAGCTGCCCGCGGCCTCTGCGGCGCCGGTTCGATCCCCGGCTGCTCCCCGGCCACCGGAGGAGGGTCCCACATGGCGTGCAGACCTCTCCTGCCGCCCGCTGCTTCCCTCAGCAGTGTACTTCGGTCCTTCTGCCTGCTCTGCTCCCCTCTCTGGCTCTGGTGAATTCTCCCACCCTCCCGCGCTTCTGACTGTACCCAGTGCATGTATAAACAAAACAAACAAACAAACCAACAAACAAATAAATAAAACATGCCTCTATAAAAAAAAAAAAAAAAAAAGACAGTGTGAGAAAAAGAGAATAAACAATGATTTTGTAAGCACACAGACGCCTTCACTGGAATGAAGCTTCTTGATGAACCTTAATTTATTTAATATACAGCTTTCATTTATATTCCCCAGAAAAGCTTATGCCCTTAGTAACTGGCCAGTAAATGTTTATTCTACTTTTCATTATTCTTACACATTTCCAAAAAGTTGTTAAGTTGATAAAAGTTTCTTTGAATTCTATCATAATTTCAGAAGTATCTTCCATATAAAAATTTTAATATGTAATAAAAATTAGTTGGATCACCTATTAAATATTAAAATATAAAGATGCAGATATTAAAATAGCTTGAATACTTTCTTTTTAATGATGAGTCAATAGAACAGGGGAAAAAGTGTAGAAATAAATGCAAATCTATCACAAAACTTCATATAGAAAAAAGTTGACATTTTAAATCATTGGAGCAAAAGTTCAATAATGGGGGTTAGGACATGTCAACTATGTAAGAAGAATAAAACTGGCACCTTTCCCTCATTCTTCCTCCAAAATAAGTTCCAGATGAATTAAAGATTAGAACATCAAATGTTAAATGCATAAAGAAAAAACAGTAGAGTTTAAAAATATAATGTCAGGGACCTCCCCGGTGGCGCAGTGGTTGAGCGCTGGGTTGCGAAGCAGCCCGCAGCCTCTGCAGTGCTGGTTCGATCCCTGGCCACCGGGCGAGGGTCCCACATGGTGCGCAGACCTCTCCTGCCGCCTGCTGCTTCCCTCAGCAGTGTACTTCGTCAGTCTGTCTGTTCTGTTCCCTGCTCTGGCTCTGGTGAATTCTCTCACCCACTGTGCTTCTGACTGTACCCAGTGCTTGTATAAATAAATAAATCGTTAAAAAAAAAAAAATTTCAGAATGGAGAAAACCTTCCTTAGTAAGCACAGAATCTAGAAGCTATAAAAGTAAAGATTGATACATTTGAATACCATTAAAATAGAAAGGTTCTGATAGGGCCTCCCTGGTGGCGCAAGGGGTTAAGATGCAACCTATGAAGCTATCCACAGCCACTGCAGCACGAGTTCGATCCCCGCCAGCCAGGGAGCTGCCCACATGGTGCAGCAGACCTCTCCTGCCTTACCCGCTGCTCCCCTCAGCAGTGTACTTTATATATAAATTTATTTATATATAGATGATTAGTTTCTCATTTTTTTAGTTTTTTTTTCTAGGTCTTTAAAATAACTTTTTTTTTTTTGTTTATCTGAGCTTTTGTCATATTTCTTCATTGAACTAGATTATGATTTTCTTTTTTTTTAAAAGGTTTATTTATTTATACAAGAACCAGGGTACAGGCCAGATGTGCGGGAGGGTGAGAGGATTCACCAGAGACAGAGCGGGGAACAGAACAGGCAGACTGATGAAACACACTGATGAGGGGAGCAGCCAGTGAGACAGGAGAGGTCTGCCTTGCCGTGTGGGTTGCTTCGCAGCCAGGGGGAGATCGAATCGGCACTGCAGAGGCTGCGGACAGCTCCATAGTGCGGTGCTCAACTGCCTGAGCCACCAGGGAGGCCCCTGATTTTTCTTTCTATTTTTTTTAAAGTACCAGCTCTTGGGAGTGATTTATTTTCTAGTTTATGAGTCATTAATGTCTCCCTTATATCTTTTAAACCTGCAGAGAAGTTGCAAAAAATGACTATATTTCCTTTGCCCAGATTCCCAAATTGTTAACATTTTCCTGCCTTTATCCATTATCTCTCTCTACATATGTATTTTTTTCTGGCACTGTCTGCAATATTTTTTCTGGCAAAATGCCACATTATCCTTAAGTACTTCAATGTGTGGTCCCTAAAACAAGGGCACTCTTCTGTATTACTACTCTGCAGCCTCAAACACTGATGTAACACCGTCGTGCAGCCTGCAGACCCCATTCACATTTCACCAACCATTCCAACAGTGCTGTTTCTTTCTTGTCAGGAACATACATTTCATTAGTTGTTAAGTCTCATTAGTCTTTGTCCGTCTGGTGTAATCCTTCAATCTTTTCTAATCTCTCATATATTTGATAATCCTTAAGAATGTAGTTTTTTTATTAATGTCCTCAATCTGGGTCAGTTTGCTGTTTCCTCATGACAAATCTCAGTTCTTGCGTTCTTGGTGTTCTTATCGTGTACTTTTCTCTCCTCCTCACTTCTCAAATTAGCCCCTTCTACAAGGACCCCTCCTTGATTATAGTAGTGGATGGTATTTAGAAAGCAAAATCAGGGAGTATAGCTCCGAGGATGTCATTGCTTCTAACACCTTTCAATAGACAAAGCTGGGAAATGTGTGTATAAACACATTCACCTATGCATACAGCCATTTATCAGTCTCTCTCTCTCTCTCTCTCTCTCTCTCTCTCTCTCTCTGTGTGTGTGTGTGTGTGTATGTATAAAACATATATATTTTTTCTAAATAACCCATGAGTTCATACGGACACTTCCAATTTCAACTGATTTTCTTCAGGGTTCTTTTAGCCTGTCCCTTTCCATGTAAATTTCTCATGTTCAATAACTGGCTTCAATTAATTTAACAATTGCCTCTATTCAAAGAAGAGTTTATTTACATTTGTTTATAACACAGATATGTTAGGTGCTGTTTATCATTTTTTAAAAAATATTGTATTTTAAAAAGTTATTTTATAAGTTTAAAAACCATTTCACTGTAGCTGTTATATTTTATGAAAACCAGAGCTATGCGTGGCAGGACCAGAATAAAAAAGTTGAGTTTTTTACTTGGAAGTTGTACTGACTTTGTCTTACCACATCCTCAATAGAGGTTTTGTACTTTTTTTTTTTTTTTTTTTACTTTTTTTTTTAGAGAGGCATGTTTTATTTATTTGTTTGTTTGTTTGTTTGTTTGGTTGGTTGGTTTATACATGCACTGGGTACAGTCAGAAGTGCGGGAGGGTGAGAGAATCCATCAGAGCCAGAGCGGGGAGCAGAGCAGGCAGAAGGACCGAAGTACACTGCTGAGGGGAGCAGCGGGTGGCAGGAGTGGTCTGCGGGCCATGTAGGACCCTCCCCCGGTGGCCAGGGAGCAGCTGGGGATTGAACCGGCGACGCTGAGGCCTTCGCAACCCAGCGCTCAACCGCTGCGCCACCGGGGAGGCCCGAGGTTTTGTACTTTTAAGTCTGATATTGGGGGAGTTAGCTTTATTCCCTGGTGGTTATTTATTACTCTGCTTACTCTAACTTCATATAATATATTAATTTACTTCTTTATAAGTATCCATTAATTTCTATGAGAAATAATAAAATTAGTGGATTCTTCTCCTCTCACATGATTTTACTTGACTGCATTCTCTTAATATCTTACTCTGAACTTTATATTCAATAATAGACTGGCTGGCTGTAAAATTCTTGGCTCATAGTGCATTTCATTTCCTTGAGGATTCTGAAAGCATTGCTCCTCTGCTTTCTAGTGTAAGCACAGATATGGAAAAGTGGAAGCCATCCTGATAATTTTTTGCCCTTATACATGACTTGATTTTACTCTGTGTGTGGGGTGTTGGGCGGGGGGGCAAGAGATGAAATGAATATGGAAAGGATTCTTTACCTTTGAGGCAAAGTAATTTTACTAGATTGTATCTTGATATGAACTTTTTTATACCAGTTTTGTCAGGGATATAGTGTTCTTTTCAATATATAGATTCAAATGTTCTGTAATATTTCTGTGAATTATATTTTTAAATACTTGTTCTCTTCCATTTGTAACACTCTGCTTTCTCTTTTGGAGACTCCAGTTATGAATATGTAGATCTTTGCCTATCTTTGGTGTCTGTTATTTTATCTTGAGTCTTTCTTTCCCTTTTATTTATTTGCATTTTCTTTTACTCAATTTTAGATCTTGTTTTCTCTGTCTCACAATTTCCCCCCCCAGTGTCTGTTTTCCTCTATATGCCTTCAGTTTTCATCTTATTCTGTAATACTATTAATTTTCCACTCCTTAAGATCTGCCAATTACTGTTTCATTTTGTCTTTTCCATTTTTTTCCCCAACCTCATCCATGAGCTCATATCTCTGCTTTGTGCACTTTCTTCAAAGACGCAAATGCATCATTTAAAAAATATTTGGTCATGCCTTTCATCTGCTTTGTGGCATTTTTTTTTTTTTAAGTTTTCTGTCTCAGTTGGTAGTTTTTCTGCATTTACTATGTGTTTTCCTCATATTTGCTTTTACTCTCATATAAAACATTTGCCATATTTATTTTGAATACCCTACTTTTAAAAAGTGGGTTTTCCTGGACCAGCTATTTACCAGCTATTTCCTTTTAAAAAGGAACTATGTTGCTTCTGGACCTAAAGAATCTTAGATGTGTTTGTTTAGCCTTTAACATCTCCTAGTCAATGGAGGTAGGCAGTTGTGATATCACTAAATAAACTCTTTCCTCTATCTGTTAAATTTTGTTTCTTAAAGTTTATTTTTAGATAAAGTAATTTTTTTCATTACATTGTGGTTAATTTTGGAAAGTTTTTGATGTCTCCCCTTAGGAAGAGTCCCCAAAGTTCTCCCCCCACCACAGCACCCCATAGTCTATCACTATAGTCCATTGTGCTCTTCCCTCCCCTGTTTTGACTTGACCCTGCCTTCCCTCCTGGATGCCTCAGATCTATGGTCAACTTGCAAGTTTTGTTTTTTCTGACCCTTTGTTTGGTTTCACTGTATTCCACATATAAGTGAAACCATCCCATATTTACCTTTTTCCTTCTGACTTATTTCACTTAGCATGATCCTTTCCATCTCTATCCATGTTGCTGCAGATGGCATAAGTTTATCTTTTTGCTGAATAGTAGTCCATTGTATATATATACCACATTTTTTTTCTTTTTAGAAATCTTTTTTTTTTAAAAGATTTATTTATTTATTTATACAAGAACCAGGGTATAGGCCAGAAGCACGGGAGGGTGAGAGGATTCACCAGAGACAGAGCAGGGAGCAGAACAGGCAGACTGACAAAATACACTGCTGACGGGAGCAGCGGACGAGACAGGAGAGGTCTGTTGCGCCATGTGAGACCCTCGCCAGCCGGCCAGGATCAAACTGGTGCTGCAGAGGCTGCGGACAGCTTCACAGTGTGGCGCTCAACTGCCTGTGCCACCAGGGGAGGCCCTATACCACATCTTCTTGATCCAATCTTCTGTTTTAGGGCATTTAGGTTGTTTCCTTATCTTGGCTCTTGTAAATAGTGCTGCAGTAAACATAGGAATGCAGATTTCTTTTGAGTTAGTGTTTTTGTATTCTTTTGGTAGATTCCTAGGAGTGTAATAGTTGGGTCTTGTAGTAGATCCATTTTTAATCTTTTGAGGAACCTCCACACAGCTTTCTTTAGTAGCTGGACCATTTTAGAGCCCTACCGGCAGTGTAAGAGGGTTCCTTATTCACCATATCCTTGTCAGTGTTTGTTGCTTCTGTTTGTTTTTTTTTTTTTTTTTAATTATGGGCCATTCTTACAGTTGTGAAGTGGTAGCTCATTGTGGTTTTGATTTGCCTTTCCCTGATAATAATAAATGATGAACATTTTTTCACATGCGTGTTGGCCATTTGCATTTCTTCTTTGGAAAAGTGTCTCTTTAACTCTTCTGAAACAGTAATTTAAACTCTTCTAAAAAACAAAAGCCCAGGACCAGACCAGATGGTTTCATAAGTAAGTCCTACCTAATGTTCAAAGGTACATTGAACAAACTCTTTCAAAAAATACCTACTCAAAGTCTTTCAAAAAATTGAGAAAGAAGGAATACTTTCAAATACATTTCATGAGGCTAATAGCACACTAATTCCAAAACCAAACAAAGACAACACACACAAAAAAAACTGCAGGCAAATCTCCCAAATGAGCAGGATGCTAAAATCCTCAATAAAAATCTTAACAAACTGAATGCAATAATGCATCAAAAGGATTATACACCATGACCAAGTGGGATTTATTCCAGGTACACAAGTGTGGTTCAATATCATTCAATGAAATTGACCACATCAACAAAAAGAAAAATAAAAGCCATATCAATAGGTGCCAAGAAAGCATTTAATAAAGTTCAACATCCATTTATGATGAAAGCCCTTAAAAAATTTGGCCTATCTATTGAATTTTGAGTTTTTAATATCCATTGGAACAGTCTAATTCCTACAACTATGCCTTTCCAATGTTAACTGTCTCCTTGTTTCCCTGCTTCTTGGAACCAAACTGAATTTAGGAATGCTTCCACTTGTAGCTTGGGGGACACTACAACCACTGTTGTGAAGTATTTATGTGGAATAGGCCCCTGATCTAAAAATGTCTTTCGTAGACTTTCTCTATAATCTGCAGACCTGGGCAAACTCTCTCTACCTCCTTACATACCCATCTCACCTTAATCTCTATTGATAGCTATTTGAAACCTTTTTTTTTTTTTTAAAGATTTATTTATTTATGCATGTAAGAACTGAGATACATGCCAGAGATGCAGGGGGTGAGAGGATTCACCAGAGACAGAGTGGGGAGCAGAACAGGCAGACTGACTAAAATACACTGCTGAGGGGAGCAGCCGGTGAGACAGGAGAGGTCTGGTACCTACTTTGGGTTAGCTCCCAGGCTGGAGATTGAACTCATGCTGTAGTGGCTGGTGATAGCTTCATAGTGCTGAGACTTAACCCCTTGCGCCACCAGAGAGGCCCACAATTTATCTACTTTAATAGTGAATTGCATTTGGATTGTTTCATGGTTTTGCCTCTTAAAAATTGCTGCTGTGAACCTTCATACAAGCATCCTTGCGCACATGGGCCTGCATTTATAAAGGTTATATAGAAAGGGAATTGCTAGGGAGAGAATTTCTAGGCCATACATAGGCTATTCACATTTTCAACTTTAACAGACAGTGCTAAGCTATTTTCTAAAGACAATGAATAGACTGCAACTTCATCTTTTTTTTTTTTTTTTTTTTTTTTGGGACCCTCGCCAGCGGCCAGGGAACAAACCGGCACTGCAGAGGCTGCGGGCAGCCTCGCAACCCAGCACTCAACCACTGAGCCACCAGGGGAGGCCCTGCAACTTCATCTTTTAACTGAATAAATTTCACAAAAAATATTGATTAAAAGAGGTAGAACAAAAATGTTGTGTACCCTATGTTTCCATTTATATAAAGTTCATTAATAGATAAAAATCAAACTTGTTTAGGGTAGATTATAAGTAATCAATAATAATAATAAAAAAAGCTAGCTACTATAAAAGGCAGTTTGATGAGGACTCAAGGTGAAGGGAGAGGTTGTCTGGGGGCAGGCAATGTTCTATTTCTTGATTTGTGTTTTGGTTACATGGGGGTTCATTTTATAATGATTTGTTATACGTCCATTTATCTTTTATGCCTTTTTCCTGTATATGGTATTTCACAATAAAAAAGACTTGAGAATTAATTTAAGTACAATTTAAGATACCCTTAGGCAATTTTATTTTCCTATTTTAGTTTCAATGCAATAGAGGAATTAAAAGAGGCAAAATAACACTGGGAAGTTCCTTTCTGTGTGTGTGAGAATTTTTAATTTATTTTTTAAATTTTATTTTCTTACATCATTGTTCTCCCATCACGTGTAGTCCCTGTAGTTCTCCCGCCATCACAGCACCCATGAGCCATCACCATAGCCCCTTCCCTCTCCTCTTCTGACCTTTCTTCCTCTCCCTCCCATGCTGTTTGCCTCAAATCTATGGTCAGCTTTCAAGTTGTGTCTTTTTCCTAACTCTTTGTTGGGTTTTCCTGTGTTCCACCTATGTTCCTATGTTCCATTCCATATTTTTCTTTTTCCTTCTAACTTATTTTGCTTAGCACAGTCCCTTTTAGCTCCATCCATGTTGCTGCAAATCACATGAGGCATTTATCTTGTTTCCATATCTTAGCTATTGCAAATATTGTAATAAACATAGAGGCGCAGGTTTCCTTTTGAATTAGTGTTTTCGTGTCCTTTGGGTAGATTCCTAGTAATGGAATTGCTGGATATAAGGTAAATTCATTTTTATGGAAAACTCCTTTTTTTTTAAAAGATTTTATTTATTTATGCATACAAGAACTGGGGTACAGGCCAGAGGTGTGGGGGGTGAGAGGATTCACCAGAAACAGAGTGGGGAACAGAACAGGCAGATCGACTGAAATACACTGCTGAGGGGAGCAGGAGACGAGTCAAGAGAGGTCTGCACCATGTGGGTAGCTCCCTGGCTGGTGGGGATCGAACTCGTGCTGCAGTGGCTGTGGATAGCTTCATAAGTTGAGCCCCAACCCCTTGTGCCACCAGGGAGACCAAGAAAACTACTTCTTTTAACCTAAAAGCTCACATCTGTATCTTTTTATAAGGCTGTCACCATGGTGCCCTGATGAAGTGATAAAGGTGCCATTTTAGCAAAAAATACAGGTTTTAAAATTCTCATTTCTTCTGTTTTCTCTTCTTAGTTGTAGTTTAAGAATTCTTTTTGGCTTGTCACATAATATTGCTGTAGATAAAATACAAAGTAATTTCTTATACTTCCTTAAGGCAGAGATGTGTCAATATAACAAGAATATATATCTTGGTTACGCAGTTATTTCTTATCATTAGTTGAAGAAATGCTTTGAAGTTTTTTCCCTGGGTTTGACATGTTTGTGGGGGAAAATAAATAGGAAACTACTTAGCAGCTTTGCATTTCTCTAGACTCTAATGCAATGGGAATAATGTATTGGGAGGAATGTCATGGGAGGAATGAAAATGTACAATTTAAATAACATTTAAAGCCTGAGCATATTTGTACATCCATAATAGATACACACATGTTATTTATTTATTGTGCTTCAACTCTAGAAATGGATTTAAATTTATTCTGTTTGCATTCTTAGTGATATCTCATTACATTCTTGTACCTCATAAAAAAACTCCTGAAAGGGATCGCAGGGCCACTTGTGAGTATGAATGTTGGGAATGTCAATGACATTTGTGTCTCTTCACCGTCCCTTCGTCATGCTTTGACCAGGCTGCTGAAGAAACTCATGCTAGAAACTGGTTTTGTGTTGAGAACAGATTCCTTGGTCAGTGTTATCTGTCTGAATATCTAAAATCACTTCTCATTCCTGTAATTCAGATATAGCAGCTACCTAATTTAGGCAATAGCAGAGTGATTTTTTTTCTCTAATCCTGTTAATATTAATGAAGGCATGAAACAGGAAAGTATAGTTCTGCTATTGTAATTATTTTTTCCATTTGTATTAATTTGGGTTAAAGACAAATGAGAGTATTTTTAGGCTCATTGGAATTCCTTAGCACTGTTTCTTATTTTTCACTTCTGACAATATAATTCTATTTTATTTTAATGCAGGTACAGCCTGACTATTTGGACTGGAAAAAATGATAACTACTCTGTTGAAGATTTACTTTATATTAGAGACCATTTTGATAAAAAACAAGTTTTCTATGACATCTTGGAACCACAAAACCACGAATTTAAACAAGCCATTGGAATCAAAGTTAATCATTAAGAGGATTCTTCTGAATTATTTCATATATTTTGGTTTTATAGTCCTTCTCTGCTTTGATTTGAATTAATTGCCATATAAATGGTGATGATTGATTAATACTCCAACTCTGGCAATCAGAAAATACATATTGCATACTTACTTTATTAGACATATGTCATTATAATCCTGTATTTACCTAAGAGATGTGGAAAGGAGATTTTAGTAAACCTAGTCTAGTAATTTAGGAAGATTATGCTTTATAGCCCTTTTAAAAATAATTTTGATATTGTTTCTATCATCATATCTTATCTCTAGTGAGAAAAATACTGTTGGGAGATAGAATTTTATCCTGGCAATATGCCATTTGATTTTCAAGTTTCTTATCAAGTACCTCCTTAGTTCAGGCCCTTGTTCTACTACTAGAATTTTGAAATTGGTTCTTCATGACTTCCTTTTATTCTACTCAGAGATACTCTGAGAATTTCTACTAAAGAAAACTTTTTTTTTAAATAAGGAACTATCAACTTTTTTTTTTTTTTTAAGATTTATTTATTTATGCATACAAGAACTGGGGTAGAGGCCAGAGATGCACAGGGTAAGAGTGTTCACCAGAGACAGAGTGGGGAACAAAATAGACAGACTGACTGAAATACACTGCTGAGGGGAGCAGTGGGTGAGGCAGGAGAGGTCTGCTGCACCATGTGGGTAGCTCCTTGGCCGGCGGGATCGAACTCATTCTGCAGAAGCTGTGGATAGCTTCACAGGGCTGTGCTTAACCACTTGCGCCACCAGGGAGGCCCTAAAGAAAACTTTTTTTTTTTTTAAGAAAACTTTTTAAATATCCTTTTCTTAATGCCAAATCAAAAACCTCTAGGGGCTTCTTAAATTCAGCTTTATTGAATTTCACTCTTTCAAGAACCTTCATAATGTAATCCAACTCTAAAAGTCCTCCAACAGAGTCTTCATTTCAGAGTGCCTACAACCTCAGTGTTCTCTAAATTTTTCTTTAACAGTTAATTTTATACAGTTCACTGATTGTGTCATACATGTTAGTTATGTCTCAGCTAAATTATACAGTCCTTCATGGTAAGGGAGCATACTTTTTTTTTTAAATGATTTATTTATTTATGCACACAAGAACTGGGGTACAGGCCAGAGGTATGGGGGGTGAGAGAATTCAGCAGAGACAGAGCAGGGAACAGAACAGGCAGATTAACTGAAATACACTGCTGAGGAGAGCAGCGGGCAAGTCAGGAGAGGTTTGCTGCGCTATGTGGGTAGCTCCCTGGTGGGGGATTGAACTTGTGCTGCAGCAGCTGCAGACAACCTCATAGTTTGCGTCCCAACCCCCTGTGCCACCAGGGAGGCCCCATACTTAATTATCTTTTACAATGCCTGGTACAGTCATGAGCAAATCATTCAGAAAAATGTGTTGCTACTTTGATTTATTGAAAAGCAATTTACTAGTGAATGTTCTGCAATATATAATTTGCCTTTTGTTTATCAGGCATTTTCTCAGGATAAAGTAGTTTTATATAGAGAAAAGAGCTTGGGGATTTGAAACCAGAAAGATTTCCTTTACAGTCCTGTCTGTCCCTTACTGGCCATAAATTTTGGGAAATAGAAATATTTAACCTTGTTGAGTATTGGTTTTCTCATCTGTAAGAAGGGAGAAAATGAAGATTTTCTTGTAGAGTTGTGAAGATTAAGGCAGATTCATGTAATGGACACTTCTAGCTCAACATCTAGTGCATAGTAAGGGCTCAACAGCTGAAGTTTTAGATTTATCATCCGATTTATCATCCGATCCTATCCATGATATCCATAGATATGTAGAAAGGTAGGTAGGTAGGTAGGCAGACAAACACTAAGGCATATAACATGAAACACTGTAGAGATATATACTTGAAATAATTGTATTTCTATTTAAAATTTTAATTCTAATGGAATGCAATGTTATTTGTCAAATAAAACAACTTTTTATGGCTTGCCAAAAGTTAAAGGTACAATTTCATCATTATAAAGTTTTACAGTTGCAACAAAGAATAACTTAACATATAGAAAAATTAATATTTAATTTATAAATTTTCTAAAATGATCATATATTACTCTATATAGCTGAATTTATTTTATTTCTTAAAAGATTATTTATGCATACAAGAACTGGGGTATAGACCAGAGGTGCAGGGGGTGAGAGGATTCACCAAAGACAGAGTGGGGAGCAGAACACGCAGATCTACTGAAATACACTGCTGAGGGGAGGAGCTGGCTAGACAGGAGAGGTCTGCTGTGCCATGTGGGTCAACTCCCTAGGATGGGATGGAACTCCAGCTGCAGTGGCTGTGGATAGCTTCATAGTGCTGAGACTTAACCCCTTGTGCCACCAGGGAGGCCCCTATATAGCAGAATTTATAATGAACTGCATTTTGATGACATTTTAAATAAAATTCATTTATCCAGAAATTTATTTTACTACTTGATACCTCTCCATTGGTAAAATTTTAAAAATAGTACTTTTAGGGCAAAATTCTTCTCAGTAGAAACTTGGAAGGGAGTGATGGGGACATACAGCCAATCCATGTCTGATGTTCTAAAGCTGTGCAAAGAATTCACACAGGATTCCTACCCCCAGGGTCTTATGGTCTAGTATGGTGAGAGAGGCTTGTAAACAGTAAGTTGGATATTTGCTGTAAGTCCTGTGATGGAACTGTACACAGGTTATAGTGAGAGACAGCCTTGTGTTCTAATTGAGAAAAAACACTTAAGTTTTGTCTTGAATAACGAGTAAGATTTACCAGGTAGACTTAAAGAGGGAAGGGTCTTTCAGACATAGGCAGAGATAAGAGCAAAAGAACTCAGGGAAGGAGCCTGATATGACCTGTTCAAAAAAATCAGTAAGCACACTGTGTAATGAGAGAGGGCCATTTATGGGCCTGGTACATTTTCTGCACCAAGGAGTTTGCTCCTTTTCTCATAGACTGTGGGAGTCAGGCTAAACAGGTAAGCATCAGTTTTGAATATTAGAAAGGTGATTACAATGACATGAAAAGAAGGAAATCTGTTAAAAGATTTGAAATTCTCAAAGTGAAATGAGATAAAGTCCTGAATTACAGTGTAGCCAAAGGGGATGAGAGGCTCAAGAAGTAGACCAAAGGTTAAGAAGGATGAACTTGTAAGAGTTTTGTTTTTTTTTTTGTGGGACCCTCACTGGTGGCCAGGAATCAAACTGGCGCTGCAGCCTCGCAACCCAGCGCTCAACCACTGCGCCACCAGGGGAGGCCCTGAACTTGTAAGGTTTTTTAACTAGTTGAATGGGGAGAATGGAGAAGAGAGAAGGGCCTAACACAGGATGAGACAGGTCAGGTGTAGTTGATTTGTTGACATTGCTACTTTACACTAGTTAGAAAGAAAAATGAAAACTATATCTGCCTGCCCCCTAAACTCACCCACTTCTCTTAATTTTAGAAAAGATGCTGTTTTTTAAATTTAATTCTACCAGTTTCTTAATACCCCTCCCAAGTAATGGCTACTTCACTACATATTTTAAATTGTCATAACTTTAAACAATAAAACTGGTCCCAAAGTCATACCATTAAAGAGAAAGCAGGCAGACCTCCAAAGGAACTCTTCTAGGGAGGCTCTTGTGGTTTCTGTTCACAAAAGGGACCACTCTGACTAAATCTGGCCACTGAGCTGTTGTGGGTGTGGTGACTGCTGTAGAAGCTTCATTCAGGTGGGTGCTTGTTCCGATCTTTAGCCCTTGCTTTTGGTGAAAGAATATAATAAGAATTCAAAAATATTAATGGGTTAAACTGTTGATGAATCATGTTCGTGACATCAACTAGCAGTCATATTCTTCAATGCCACAGATTAAAAAGGAAAAAAAAAGACTTAAGAATGTCATTAATTATTGAGCAAGTAATACTAATTTTAGTAAGTCTTGACCCTGAGCACACTTTTAAATATTCTTTGTGACAAAATGGGAGGTAGAGATAGAGTAGTTCTCCTGAATTCTGAAATTTCAGCAGTTGTCTGAAAGAAAAGCACTTGTTGCAAATGGAATTAGCCATTTTTTTTTCCATGAAAAAATATTTACTTGAAAGAAAAACTGACAGACAGACTAGGCACTTAGTCTTGGATATTTGGCAGATATTTTCTCATAAATGAACAAAGCAAGCTTGTCTCTTCAAAGAAAACAGCTGACAGTATCTGTTGCCAAGAATAAAACCTGAGCTTTTACTTGAAAAATTGGAATTCGAATAAACTTGTATCCATCATTGTGAGCTTAACAGTTTCCAATAAGAGATTTCTCTTCGATATCAGTGGTAATATTAATAATTTTTTTATATTATATGATGAAATTTGTCAACATTTGGAAGATCTGCTTCACTCAAGTAATCAAAATTCTTCTAAATGACTAGTGCATACTACTATAAAAACTTGCATGGGTAAGGAATCCCTGGAAAGTGCAAGACAGAATGATGAGATTTAGTGTAACTATGAAAATTCATTAATGTGGTTTCAGCTTTCATATGATAACTTTTTTTTTTATAGAGGCATTTTTATTTGTTTGTTTATACATGCACTGGGTACAGTCAGAAGCACGGGACTGCTGAGGGGAGCAGTGGGCGGCAGGAGAGGTCTGCGCGCCATGTGGGACCCTCCTCCGGTGGCTGGGGAGCAAACCCTGGAGCAAACCGGCGCCACAGAGGCCACGGGCAGCTTCTCAACCCAGCGCTCAACCGCTGCGCCATCGGGGTGGCCCTCATATGATAACCTTTTAAGAGACTATCATTTACCAAGTTTGGGTGTAGTATCAAAGAAAACTATCCACAATTATCTGGAAAGTCTACTGAAGAATTTTTTCCTTTTCTAATTACATATCTGTGTGAAGCCATCTTATCTTCATATACTTCAACTAAAACATTTTACAGCAGATTGCAGAAACAGCAGAATCCAGCTGTTTTCTATTAAGCCAAACATTAAAGATACTTGCAAAACTATAAAACAATGCCACTCTTTTCACTAAATATATTTTGGAAATGTAGCTATTTTTCATAAATTAGTTGTGCTAACATGTAATGGGCTTTTCAAAAAAAAGTTTACATTTCTCAGTTTTAATTTTAAGGTTAATGCCATTTCTGCTTTACTTATTCTAAACTCAAAGGTATAAAAAGAATGGTAACACATTAAAATGCATTTGTATCTAAATATAGTCAAGTCTTGAAAAAATAGTTTTATTAGTTCTTAAACTGAAAAAAATCTATGCCAGTGGTTTAAAAAATTCAAACAGTACAAAAGTGTATTTTAAAAAGTATAAAAATCATATGTGGAATAGAAAGGAAAAAGCAACAACCACAAAGGAATTAACAAAACTAAAACAAACCCTGGAAATATGAGTGCAGAATTAAGGCTTCTAGAGGGAAGAAGAAAGGTTAAGAATGGTTCTTAACCTTTGTTCCCTGTAAACAGAGGGAGGGGGAGAATGGCCTAGAGTAAAGGTCTGGGGTATGGGGGTAGGTATGGGGGGTGGTGTGGTGGCACCTGGTGAGGTGTAAGCCTAGTCCCTTAAACCATGTACAGTGTTATAAATCGATGTTAACTCAATAAGGAAAAAAAAAATGCTTTAAGTATAATAAATTCAGGTAGAGGGCCTCCTCGGTGGCGCAACGGTTGAGCACTGGGTTGCGAAGCTGCCCACAGCCTCTGCAGCGCCGGGTCGATCCCTGGCTGCTCCCCGGCCACCGGAGGAGGGTCCCACATGGCGCACAGACCTCTCCTGCCACCCGCTGCTCCCCTCAGCAGTGTACTTCAGTCCTTCTGCCTGCTCTGCTCCCTGCTCTGGCTCTGGTGAATTCTCTCACCCTCCCGTGCTTCTGACTGTACCCAGTGCTTGTATAAATAAATAAATAAATAAATAAATAAATAAATAAATAAATAAATAAATAAATAAATAAATAAATCTTTAAGAAAAAGAAACTTTATCTTAAAAAAAAATATGAATGGCCCATTTAGAACTTTGTAGGGCAAAGAATATAATTATAACCCTTTTTTTAACTAATCAAATGAATATTTTCTAGTTCCCCAAATTCCTTATCCTATATTTATGCTGATGATAACAAGCAATAAAATATTACAGTACACACTCTATGCCAGGCACTGTTCTAAAGAACCTCTGTGGGGTCTCCCTGGTGGCCTAAGGGTTAAGTCTCGGTGCTACCACCTTGAAGGGCCACCACAATGGCCTGAGTTCGATCCCAGGCCAAGGAGCCAACCCACATGGCACATCAGATCTCTCCCATTTCACCTGCTGCTCCCCTCAGCAGTTTATTTCATTTAGTCAGTCTGCCTATTCTATTCCCCACTCTGTCTCTAGTGAATCCTCTCACACACACACACCTCTGGCCTATACCCCAGTTCTTCTATGTAAAATAAATTAACAAAAATAAAGAATAAAGGACCTCTGTGACTATACCATTGTTACTGATGAAGACATTGTCTCCTCATACTCTTCAAAGCTGAATTCCCAGGTGCCAAAGCTACCCTTATGAGTTGGAACTCTGTGTGTGGGCCATGCTGTCCTTGTTCTGGTAATAATTATTTCTGTACCATATTTTTCGTTTTGATCCAACTGACACTCCTTTAGGTAGTCTTTGTCAGAAACTTTTCTGATGCTATGATAGACTCCTACTCAAATGTCTCATAGGAGATTAGGGAAGATGTTATCATAAGGAGACATATCCAGCAAAGTTAGGGAAAAGATGAACATCTAAGCATCAGGAAGGAAGGTCATGCACACCAGAGCTCCACTGAACAAATTCAGATTATTGACAGCAAGTCCTGTCGACTCATCCCAGTTTGTGCCTTATCTCCCCAAGTCAGTTGTCCATTTTGGGTCGAATCACTGTTGATACCTTAGGCTTCCCCTTCCAATAGCAATGGGCAGAAATAGTCAAGGAAGTATCTGGTGGTGTGCCCTAATCCTTTATTTGTAGGGTTTCAGGACTCTCAATGGTCCTGTCCGTGTGGTATTGTGATAGCCTACATTTACCACTGGCTATGATAAAACAATAGGGTACTCTGATGAGTTCCTCAGAATCCACCCATGTTCCTTCTAGTTTCTTTTTGTAGTTCTGAGAATCACTTCAACCAATGTCATGACACCCTTTTCTCCTATGAAGGAGCCTGGAATGACCAGATGGCTGTTTCCACTCCTATGGAATTACTTTTGTATCCTGTGGTGGAAGTTTTCTTCACTTAGATGTCAAATTCTTCACATTAAAGGACCCAAAGTTGCAGGCATACAATAACAATTTTTTTAATTGATGAGAAGATAGGTTTTGAAATGTTCTGACAATTTCGTGCCACTATGACCACCATTTAATGAATGTGAAAATAAAGCTTAGAAGTCATTCAGATGATTGAAATCCCAAAATAGGAAGGTGGGGTAAAGAGGTTTAAGATTGACTAGTTTGAATTTCAGTGGACTCGGGTGTAGGAGCTGTCTCTAGTTTTCCGGTACCCCACCCTGGAGTGATTAGGGCTAGGGTGAAGTGGCCCTAAATGAAAAGTCCTGGGAGTGTCTGATAAAGGAAGTAGATGGAAAATGGACCAGGAGTGGTTGATTTGCATATGGAAGCTGTTTTCTATCTCTAGGAACTAGCAAACTCTGGGAGGTTCGGTCCCTCTAATGTAAGTCCCCAAGATATGAAAGCATCAGAAAATATAAAAAGATAAAAAACATCATCAATACAATTATCATCATCCTGACAAGTTTGTTTTTTTCTTTTTGGGAATCAAATTAGCAGAAAGTGATGCAGTGAGTAGTTAATAAGGGTAGTTATCATCTGAGATTTAAAAATGTTCAGGTAGTAGATGCCTAATGGGTGCATTTTCAGTGAGGAAGTACGTGCCAAGTAGGTGTTCACCTTTCCAACACTGCTTGGATGAGCCCTGTTTACATTTGCCTAAATGGACTTGTTCTATGTCCTCCACAAAATCATCCTTGCCATGACTCAGTATTAGCTCTTTGGAATTCCTGGCCATAATAACTAAGAACGTCATCTGTGAAAGTAATGAATTAAGTGTCATCAGACCTTTAAGTTGAATAATATTTTTATACAGTTAAAATATAACATAGATGCACATATTAGATTCCTGTTACAAATATCTCTGACTTACCATTGGAATCCCAGTGATATATTCTACTTCATGAAGTGAAAAGCTGCACTGGATGGCATTCAACCAGGCTCAGACAGCTTCTGCTCTCTAGTGTCCTTAGGATTGAAAGAGGATTAAAATTCATCCAAATATGGTCAACAAAATTTTAATCCCATTAACTTTTTTTCCACGTTGCACGATTTCTCTTGAAATTATATGAAATATTATCATTAGTATTTGAGATAAATAAAAATCAGTGAAAATCAAAATGACATTTAAAATCTTTATTGATGTCTATTTACATATATGTATTTACATATTCTTCAAACTGAATCCTTACAACTTAAAGCCAAACACTTTTCTCAAAATTAAATCTTGCAAAAGGGGTTTAATTACCTATTAGCATCACATACAATTCTAATTTGAGTCAAAGAATATTTCTAATGTAGTTAATATTATTGTTATTCAAAACATTAAATGAAAAACCTCCAATTATTTTTTCAAATCAAAGTCACAAGAAGTTAAATAATTACTATGTACATTACAATTTGCTTATATCAAATTACCAAGAAAAGCATCATGCCAATTACTAGGATCTCTTTTATGACAGAAAGCAAAGGCAGTTTTCATGTGACAATCATCAGCTCACTCAGGTTTTGTATAGTTTAATTTATTCTTTGTTTTAAACTGCTAGATTGAAATAAGGATTCATTGTATAAACACCATATTTTGAAATCATGTAGATAATATAGTCATTTTATAATCTCTTATGATAGTAGTGTGGTATTCATTTATTTTGCTAGGATTTATTCACAGGTCCTAAAATACTAGATGATTTGAATGTCACCTAAGGAACTTATCCTTTTATATATTATATCAGTGTCTAATAATTATATCAGAAATAAAAAGACATTTCATATTGACCAAATATTTAGTATATTTTATAATTAAGTTTCTACTGGTTTTCTTAATTTTAGCTAACCTAAAATAATCTAATGATACTTTTTCTTTTTTAAAATGAAGCAAGCACTTAGATTCTATTTGTGATAAATCTCAAACTTTTTTTAAATGTCCTTACAAAGGCAAGAATAATTTGATATAAGTAAAGAGGAATGCTTTATAACTTTTTCATTATCTTCGTACAGGGAACCTATAGGGTTCAAAAATCAGGAATTAAAAGATATGGAAAAAAAAGAATTACATATGACATTATAAAGTTTGTTTAAAATAAACAATCAAGACAAAAAATAGCATACAAACACTTGGCCATAGATTATTACTTGTAAAATTCTGATCTGCCATTTAGACACTGATTAAACTACTAATATTAGCTGCTCAGCCAACTATAATGGTTGTCTTTTTGAAATTTTAATTAGATTTTCACATACCTGCAGTCAACATTTTTTAAGAATTAGTCCATTCTTTCTTGAAGCTTAGGTTTATTGATCATAGAATATTTTATAGCTGTCGGTGTCTTATGTTTTG